TCAAGATGGGGCGAGCCAAGGACTTTTGGTCCCATTAGCACCTACTCTAGACCTTAGAGATGAAAGGCAGCGGAGTCTTCACAAAGATGGAGAAAGTTCTGTCCATACACAAGCTCTTAGAACTGGGGCGGGCAAGGATGATCCTGTCTGTTCCCCTTATTTGACAGATGCTGATGCTGAAACCTAGAAAAGCAGCTGCCCAAGATCATTCAGGAGTGAATGGCAGTGCTGAGCCTCAAAGCCAGAAGGGAGAACATAGGCAGTATTTTCTAGAACCTGAGGGGAAAACACCCAGAGAAGTCACACATGTGTGTGGGGCCAGAGACTGCAGATGTTCAGAAAGGAAAGAGGGAAATTGAAGGGGCAGAGAAAAAGTGAAGAACAAGAACAATCTCTTTGGGCAGGAGAGCCGGCCAGCTCCACCCTAAGGGTCTTACACGTACTCCTTTAGGTGCATGGAGCATACTCACGTTCTGTTCCTAGAGATGACAGTGAAGATACAAGCCTGGAACAAAGGAAAAACCACAGTCCAGTCAGTGAAAGAAAAGCCTCACCTAGTTAGGATCGAGGCAAGACAACAACGTGGGGAGTGCTGACGTTCCCATCTGAACTCGCGTCCTAGCCCGGACGGAATGTGTGTTGTATTGATAGTCCTGTGGACTGGCCTGTAGCCGCCACTAGGTATAAAGCCATTGAGGGCAGGACTGCCTATTACTCATCCTCTTATCTCCAGGGCCTATCGTGCCGTGGCATGCAGTACTTGCTCGGTCAATATTTGCTAGCTGACCAATAAATACATTTCCGTACGTATGGATGTATTCATAAATTCAACCCCCTGTTAGCTGTTCCTCCAGAAGCATCTCTGTGTTGCACTGCAAATGCCAAGACTTTGTAGGCAGGAAACTGCCTGGGACGCCAGGCACCCCTTCCCACAGACATCAGACTCCTGGCATTTCCCCCGCTGAGACACAGACCTTGGAGACTACACTGAACGAGGTAAGGTTTGGAAGATGGTACAAGACTAGGCCAAACCACTAAGGTCTCTGCCTGGCAGTGGGGCTCTGGAAGGTATTCTGGCTCTTAGCCTCCAGATTGTCAGGGTCCTCCAACCGAAGACCACCAGGACACTCTTGTGGCTGAACAAGATGGGTTCACTGCTAACTGCAGCAAGGCAGGATGCACACCACGGCAAGCCAGAGGGACTCTCAGGAAGAGGAGGTGAGATAGGACTTTCGATAAGAGTTGGGCCAGGCTGGGTGATTTGGGGGAGGGTTTAAGAAGCCAGGCTTTGCTGTGGCGTGGATGCTGTCAGGAAACAGGGGTAGCTGGGTGTTTTATTGAATAAATCTTAGCCAATAGGAGGGAGCCCAGAGTGACACTGAACTTGCAATTGGCAAAGCTGCAGCAGTTGCTGAGATCAGCCGGAATGGGGGTGCTTGATTTCTGTGGTTTGGGCAAGTGTTCCTGTGTTTGTCCGTGTTCACACATGATTAAGGAGTGGTCTCGTTTTTGCCTCAGTCCATCATGGTCAGGGTGGCCTTGTGTGCTAATGTCCTGTGAATCTGTTTACATTTACCAGGACACCCAGGCCAGCTGGTGGTAACACCAAGGCCTGGTCAACAGGCTAGGCCAACTTCGGGATATCGGGGGCTGCTTTTCTCTTTCCCCAAGATGTTCATTTTGAGATGATCCCTGTTTTCCAACCAGAGCTTGGCAGTCCCGTATCTAAATATTTAGACCCTCCCTGTACTCTGACCCAGTCACACCCATCTGTAGAACCAGCCAGGCAGGGCAACGTCATCACTGGCTTGGACTGTGCGTCTGTGTGTGGTTTTGTGTACATGTGTCTGTGCCCGTCAGAAATTCCCTGATAAGACGGGAAAGAGGCCAGAGGTGGTCCCACCTCACTCGCTGGGCCCAGCAGGAATGTCCCCCCACCCAGAGAACAGCGCCCTGGGTTGAAATCTCTACAATCTCTAGGGCACAGGGTGCCAAGAGTTAGGTGGAGTCAGGGAAGGACAGGGGCTATTGCAGCAGCCAACCATGAGAGGAGCGGGAAGGGGTAGCAGTGGAAGGGAGGGGAGAGTTCCTTTGTATAAATGGGTCTCTAGAGAAGCAGCAGATTTTCCTTCAAGGAAGCAGCCTGCTGTGCAGTCCCCACCCCCAGCCCTTTTTGCTTTATGCCTCTTGTCTCCAAAACAGGCCTTGTTGATTAGAACAACAACAGTCACATATGTTGACCTCATCCTCCACCAAGAGGCTTCCTTTGACCCCTTTCTAATCACAGAAACTTCCTTCCCTTGGGTCCTTCTCTCGTTGTAAAGTGGGGGACATCTCCTGCTCTGCCTTTAGGGAGGGGGATGGAGGCAAGTGCCATCACAGGTGGTGCCCAGGTGCCCTCAGCCTTTGTAAAATGAGAAAGGCAAGGCTGAAGGGAAGTGGGGGACTGCGAGTTGTATGTTGGCAGAGCCCCAGCTGCTCTTCACAGGGTGTGACTAGTGTTGTGCTGTGGCCCAACTCATCACAGGCCAGCTCCTGAGGGCCAAACCTCAACTGGCACGGCTCGTCTGTACAGTCAGAAACTGGCCCCTGCATTCCCTCAGGAGTCCAGGCAGCCTTGTGAAGCGGTGAGTTGAGGCAGTGCGTAAAGTGAGGGGGTCGCTGGTCCTCCCACAAACCACCTGAATGACAGGCTGGAGCCTACAAGGCTGAGGCTCATTTTTATACTAAGCTGCTTTCGTCATCGTCTAACCAAGCAACAAGGACTTGCTCAGCACGGTCCTGGGGTTCTGGGGTCAGGCCCTATGGTCCTCATCCTGGGGCAAAAAAGTCTTTGCTCTCAAGAGAGCTGGCATTCCATTTAGGGGGTGAACACTAATGATGCAGAGTGGCTTAAACAACAGTTAAGCTCACAGGGGTAAGAGCAGAGTTCCAAGATGAGCGAAATCACACACAGGCACTAGGCCAACTGGACCAGGATGGGGAATAGGAATGGCATTCCGGATGTGTCCGGATGTGGAATACGAGGTCACTTCACTGCAAGGTGGGAATAACCAGTGGTGTATGTGCCCTTGCAGGTGTGACCTCATGGGGAAGAAGTTGGATGGGCAGTGTGTGCAGAGATCTGCAGTACTGTGCAGGTTCTAGGCTTGAGGTGGTCGGTGACAGGGAGTCACTGTGCATTGTCAACAGGTGGTAAAATCATGGACAGAGTGGCGCAGGCAGCAGTGGTTGACTACAGATGGAGGCTCTGATGGGTCTCCCGATTCTTGGTGTGTCCAGTTCTTTGTGTGTCTGTCTGTGGACAATTCTCACTGAACTGTAATTCTGTGTTCACACGGCTACCCTCCCCATTGACACCAGGAGTTCCTTAGGAGCAGCAGCCGTGTTTTCAACGTTTTCCTACATTGGCATTTACCTGGCTCACAGTAGGCACTCAGAGAACACTTATCAGATGAAGAGGTCATTTCATTTTAATCAACTGAATTACAATGACATTCCATATAAGGATAACAAACCCAAAGAATTGAGACTAAATTGTGTATAACACATCCATCATAATTGCATCTATTTCACAATGGCTTCCACTTCAAGATGTGGAAGTGTCTTCCCACCATCTTTGTAAGCAGCAATTCTTACTGCACAGGAAGTCCCATGTCACAGGAGGCTGGATGAGATTTCTACATGCAGATCTGGACATGTCATGCATCAGACAGTAAGTTCAGTAAGTTCTACTGAACTTAAATACATATAGAAAAAAAATCTATTTCTAGTGTAGCTAATTCTTTTTTATTTTTTCAAATATTTATTTATTTATGCATACAAGAACTGAGGTGTAAGCCACTGATGTTGGATGGGGGGCGGTGAGAAGATTCACCAGAGAGAGTGGGGAGCAGAACAAGCAGATGGACTGAAATACACTCCTGAGGGGAGCAGCGGGCAAGGCAGGAGAGGTCTGCTGCGCCATGTGGGTCAGCTCCCTGGCTGGGGATCGAACTCATGCTGCAGTGGCTGCAGAACTTCATAGTGCTGCGCTTTAATCCCTTGCACTACCAGGGAGGCCTCTCAAGTATAGCTAATTCTTAACATGGATGTCTGCCTTGTAGTTTTAAGAAGGGATTGCAGTGTGACTGTGACTCGCTTTAAACACACAGTATTGAAAAAAATCTAGACTGCTAGTAATTTCCTCTTTACAGAAAGACTCATAGGATTCTTGAAAGTAGTGCAACTTTCCTCATACTTGAAATAAGATTTGATTTTTAGAAGTAGCTGCAGATGCAAAAAAAGATAGGAGTTAATTCATGAAATGGTGCATTCTAGTCCCTGGGGGTTGGGGTTGGGTCTCATCCATAAAGTGAACTGTACCTAAGCATATTTAGATAGGAGAGTTGGGCGTCACTGGTTTCTGGTTTGGGCAGGGAGCAGGAGTATGGCTCCATCATCAGCCCTCAAGGAAGTCAGTTGGTTTAACTGAGAAACATGAAGTCCCTTGTTTTTGTTGGCAGTTGATAAACTTCCTGGCCCCTGCTATTGGCCAGTTCAGTTCAGGAGTGGGCTGGGGGTCGGGCGCACACCGGGACTTGTTCAGGTAGAGCAGACTATCCTATAATTTTATTGTTCATTCAACAATGCCTTTCTGAACACCGACAGTGAGCCAGGCCCTGTGCTAAGCCCTGGTGCTAGAACCCTCGAGCAAGTACTAAAGCTATGGTTCCAGCAGGGCGACACGGAAGTAAGGATCCAGCAGAGGAAGGTTGGGCAAATCTTCCTAGAGACAGGGACCGTCCCAGAGGCAGGGTGAGGCCACAGTGTGTATGCAGAGGTCTGCAGGGACGAGAATGCAGCTCAGGGAACCGGAAGAAGTTCCACATGTGGTGTGGGGAGAGAGACTTGAGAAAAGCCATGCACTCAGCGCCAGCCCTACTTCACATGTTCTCTGACCCACAGAGCTTTCTCCTTACACACACCCTCTCCCTTTCAAAAAAAAAAAAAAAACAGAATTTAATTTAGAAGAATCAGGTTTTATTGAGTGATGTGAACATTAAGAATTCGCCTATATGGTTGGAAAGTCACAAAGGACTCGATCATTCACTCTTATACGCACAGAGGAATTCTGTGAATACAAAATGTTCCTTTATCCATTCAAACAGCTGTCAGGGACAGCAAAGTACTTGTCTATTCCACTGAGGGGGGTTCAGTCTTCATGAATGTTGAATAATTTGGCTACTTCGTTGAGATCTTCATGTTGCTCCCCATCCTTGATGATCTGAGGGTGGGAGGATCAACAGGTCACCAACACAGTCTATGAGTGTGCCCCTGCCCCAAACTCCAAGTGAAAACAAGACATTCCTGAGCACGGCTGATGCCTTGTTCTGCACAGGCACAGCCTGACCCAGGAGGACAATACGGAGCAGGGCCCCGGATAAAAGCACAGGAGCACTTCCAGCTGACACTGCCCACCCTCGCCCAACAACTGGTGGACACCTACCTTCCTTGCAATGGGCATTCGGTTGAAGATGTTCCACAGCACGATGCCCACCACCACTTTGTCCCTGAGGTAGAAGATGACGCCTTTGCCGTAGTCCTCCCCTTGGGCAGGGGCCTGAGGAACTGCAGGATTGCTGGTAGGGATGGCGATTTCTGAGGCCTCGGACTCTGTCTCGCTCTCTGATCGGATACCAGTCCCTGTGGCCAACCCCCAAAACAAACAAAGTCAAAACCTCAGTTATTATGAGCTTGAGGAATTCTAGAAGGCAAGTATCTTTGGATACCTGCTTTGAGAGGATTTGTTTTTCAACAGCCTCTCAGTAAATGCTGGCTTTCTCCAGTCCCACTTTGCCAACAAAGCCCATGAAAGCTCCTCCTTGCCAGGCTGTGGGCACTGGGTCAAGGTGACCCACACTTCCCTCCCTCCCTTACAAGCCAATCTTCCATATGTGTTATGGATATTTCCTGGTAGCTGCACATCTTCAAAGTAGGAGACTTGCTCTTGTTCCCTGAGAAACATTCTAAGATGTAGTCCAGTCCAGCACCCACTTACCACGTACAGCTGTTCTAACCAAATGAGCTAAAATTAATGAAAGCAATTGTAAAACTCAGTTCCTCCTGTGTAGTAGCCATACTTCAAGGGCTATACAGCCACATGTGGCTAGTGGCTAAAGTACTGGACAGAGCAGAGACAGGCCACTGCCATCACTGCAGAAACTTCTAGCAGACAGTGCTGCTGGAGAGACCCTCTGGCCAAAGCAGAGGTTCGTTCTGTCTGAAAAAACCATCTTGGTGTTTCCTGCCAGTGGGGTGGTGGTAGCATGGGGAGGGGACTCCTGCCATCTGACAGCCACCAGGCTCCAAGTAACACTTACTGCCCAGTGGACAGAGCAGTGACCTGGAGCTCACCAGTCCCTAGGCCCCTCTCCTGGTCCACTTCCAGAATTAAGGGGTATGGACTCCACTTGGGGTACACAGGGAGACAACCTACATAGCTGTATAACGTCTTGCTTTCGCCTCCTTAAACAGCACTTGCCCTTGAAATACCTCTGACAAGGGGACACGGAGGTTAAAGAACATCAGCCAAGGTCATGGGAGGGAGAGAGAGCAGGCCTAGACTTAATGAAAGAGATGTGTGTGGGAGAGAAGCTCATTCCACAAGGTGCCTCCTGTGGAAAGCGGCCCTGCATTAAGACCTGCCAAGGGGACTGGCGGCGGCTCAGTTCTTCACTGCCCCGGACTGTGGAAGGTGGCAGGTCCTGTACTACGGCTCTTGGGATTAGCAGGTAGCAAAAAACACCAATAAAAACAGCACCTTAACAGTTCAGGGGCTTTCACCGTGCAGGCCCTATTCCCCAGACAGCAGAGGCACTGACCCAGCCACTGTCCGGGGTGGGTGGACAGACACCCACAATACCCCAGTCTGTGCTCCGACCAGGGTCCTCGAGGTTGCCAGCTCTCAGACCACTGAAAAGTGAGCACTTTGGGTCTGGTTTATTTTAAAACACAACCTGAAGCACGTGCTTTCCCTGACAGTTTCCTCTGATCAACACAGAAACCCCTTGTTCAGGAGAAGCTGGACCAGTGCTTCTCAACACTCTTCCAAGAGAAGTATGGGCTTCCTTACCGGACTGCTCTGTGGCCGATTTGGGGTTGTCTTGTGCAGTTGCTCTTGCGAAAACACCAACTGTGGGCAAACTACTGTCCACAAGACCAATAGCTTCATAGCCAACATCAGGACCTAAATCGCTCCTAGGGAAGGTGAGAAAAGAGCACGCTCTGTCAAGGGGCTGCCAGGAATGACGTGGCCGTACATGTTCCCTCAGACACCACGCTTTCATGCCAAGCAGAGAAGTCGGCATGTGCAACAAGAGAAACACAACACTGCCCGTTGCTCACGAGGGCACCCGGGGCAGCTGTGAGAAAGCAGCTCTTGCTTCCCCTCAGATGACAAAATGTGGAGCGCTCCACAGACCGCGGTCTGGGCGGGCATAAGGCGTTCATGCTGTTGCTCCACCCACCTCTGGGAGCATTTGGTTCCCCACATTCCCAGTGCCACTTCCGCTCAACCTAAAATGGCCCTTCTGAAGCTTTAACACGTGCTCCATGTGTATGGAATTCAGAACCTTGAAATACTTTACGGTTTCACTAACTGATGGCATTTTCCTCTTGGCCTCTGTCACTCAGAGTAGACTGTTTTCTACTCGGAGGCCCCTTCTTTTGGTCATTTGATTATAATTGCTCTTCTTGGAAAGCTTTCCTATCACCACCATGCCTTTCTTTATATACTGGGAACATGACCGAATGTTTGCAGCACAGACACGCCCTGGCTTTGTGATCATCTAGGCTGTGTGCACTGTTTTGTTTCTAGTGCTCTGTCTGCATTTTCTTATCTTTTTGGCTGCAGGAGCTCACTGGACTGGTCTCTTTCAGGGAACAGTCTACAATGACTCCTTGGATTCTGGTTCTGGGACCTAACTGATAACTGCATAGCGAGGGACTATTTTCTTAATTGTGTTATCTTTCAGGAGTTCACCCTGACATCCATCTGTTTTTGCCACCCACTCATATAATTGTAGGTGATCATCTAAAAAGTAGTCCCATCAGCTGAGAATCTCCCTAACAGGAATAGCTGAGAGGCTCCGGAAACCTTGATGTTTATGTATGGACCCCCCCCCACACACACACACACATCTTTTGAATCAACAAGACAAAAAAGCCTGGCCTGCCCCGGGATTTGGGATGCCCAAAGGCTAGCACCTTTCTCTTCAGAGAACTGCCTCTAGATGCCTGGGCTTTGAACTGATGATCCTGAGGGTGAGCTGTGAGCACACTGCCTTTCCTGTCAGTATGCTGGGCTCTTCAGGGTTAGCCACAAAGAACCAATTAAAATAGTCTGCCATCTAAACCCAAGAGTACACTCTTGAATCACCTACTAGAGCTGAAACTCTGCACTACTTTGCCAGAGAGCTGATGCATCTCCATTCATTCACCAAATGGAACCCTCTCCTCAGAGCTGCTGAGGGGCAGAATGCATGGGCATGAGATGGAATGATTTTCCCCTCTTTCTGAAGCTAGGTGACCTAACAAAGAGACCAAACCATAACTCCGATTCCAGTAATGCTGTTCCAACTAGTTAAGTCCTCAGGGCACAAAACTATTACCAGAACATTGACTGATGCCAGTACGGCTTAGCAGCTCCGGTCATATTTTCTCCAGCCAATCTTCCGCTCACAACAGCATGATCATGGTGCTCTACCCGCCTCCTACCCAGCTTTATATCGTAGAAGCATGCTGCATCTCCTGCCTTTGGATACAAATACATCACATGAGCACATGATAAACAAGCAAGTTAAAAACACAATATAAACTTTAGGGGCTCAAAAATATCTTGTGATGTTAACAAATCAGTATTTTTCATCTATCGGCCAGATTTACGCCTACACTGTCAAGAGAGTTGCAATTCCACTTTTTAAATACTATCTGTATTTCCACAGAACTAACCTATGTCTTCTGTGCTCCAGCTGACCCCTACTTACTCCTGCTCATTCTTCCCTGAGCAGAGACAGGGTATTTAATAGCTGTGATTTACACAACACTCTTTCCTACATCTGGAAACCAATTTTTAGCTGGAACTGCCTCTTACCTAGAATTGTTTTCCAAAAAGTGTTTGGTTATCCAGTTTTCATTCATTTGACAAATATTTGTGGAGTACTTAACACATACAAGGTCTTTACGTCATCTGCCTCGTTGAGATGCACCTGACAGGAACCCTGCCCACAGGGAGCGCGTTAGCTAGCTGAGGAGGCGCGGCATTGTTCTGTACTGCAGCGCAATGCAAGCGAGCAGTGGGCTGCTGGAGAGGTGCAAGTTAAGTGATCTCAGCATTCCAAGCAGAGATAGAGCCCCTGGCTGGAGGTGAAGAGGGCCAGCTTCGTGGTGTATGAGCTCTCTCTGTTCATCTTTGTGGCTATCCAGACTGGGGCTATGTCTCTCACCAAAGCAGCCTACAAGTCCAACACACATGAACCAGTGGCAAAATAAGCTATAAAATCCAATTAATGGAATATTATACAGTCATTAAAGTGTTTACAGGCTTGGGGGCAATGTGGAAAATATATTATAATGCTAAGTGAAAAGGAGGACATACATGTTCAGATACAGTCCACTTGCCATGGCAGTGTGCAACAACCAAAATCCTAAGCACACAAAAATGAAGGCAGGAGTGACACCAAAATCTCAAGGGTTGCTGCAGGGGTTTTGCCTGCCTCTACCGGTCTGTGCCTTCTACATTGGGTGTGTCTTGCTTGTCTCTGTCTTCTTGAGTTTGTATTGTTTCATGACAGGTTAGAAAAATCCAGTCAATTATATTCTTTAAAAAAATACAACTTTAGAGCCCTCCCTGGTGGTGCAGCGGGTTAAAGCACTGTACTAAGATTAAGCCACTTCCTCTTGAGTTCGATCCAGAGGAGATCCACATGGCGCGGCAGACCTCCCCTGACCAGCCCGCTGCTCCCCTCAGCAGTGTACTTCCTCAATCTGCCTGTTCTGCTCCCCACTCTGTCCCTGGTGAATCCTCTCACCCTCCACATCTCTGGCCTGTACCCCAGCTCTGTATGAATAAATAAATAAATCTTTAAAAAAAAACAAAAACAACTTTATAGAAAAAATACCCTTCAGTGCTCCTATGTCTTTAGTTAGTCAAACACAATCCACTTAGAATGAGCTAGCAATGGGGAAATGACCTCATGGTTCCTCCACACTACAGTCTTGTTTGTGTCATGACAGATTTTTTAAAACAGCTAAAAATAGTACTCAAGGAAAATGAAAATGGAGTAATTTTCCTTTCTAGACAATGTTCCACAGCTGCTCATGTTCAGGCAAAGGGAACAGCACGCAGCCTGAAAGCTGTGCCCGCACCTGCCAGGCTGAGGCCCACGACTGCCACCGGCTGCAGAAGCACAAGCGCTCTGGCCTGTGGTCACAAATGCTGCCCGTTCCTCTTCTACCAGTTCACAGAACGAGGCTGCCCCTCATCTTAATCTAGTGGTTTGCCTCCAAGCGCTCTGTAACCACGTGGTAAGCTGCTGGCCAGTCCAGGGCACTAGCAGGCAGACGTGCTCCAAGCTGGGACCAGCAACACTTACCACCCAGATGTTAGAGCGTGCTTGCAGCTCTGCGTTCACCCGGAAGCCTCCAAAATCAGAGTCTATCTCTAGTCCACCAGTCTTGGCCAACTCAACGTTGGGCTCCAGACCCACAGCTGCCACTATGTGGTCAGTTTCTACCTGAGGAGAAAAAGAAATCCTTCGTCACTGCAGTTTCCACATATGAAGGAAGGACCCACAACTGCATGCCTGGTGGTGAAGTTTTCAGGCTTCACAAAAAAAAAAACAAACAAAAAAACAGTTAACCTACCTCTGGTAGACAGATTTTAAGTTCTATTTTCTACGCTCCTCCTCCCCCAAATATTCCACACACAGATACCTCATATTGGCTAGGTAGAAACCAGGCACTTTTGTCAGGTGTCAGAAACCTGAGATACAGACAGCACGGGACTACGGGAAAGTTTCCCAGGTGCCAACCCTGACTCTTGATTCTCTATTTGAATGGAGGGATAGTTCATTCAGAAAATGATGATAGGTTAAGGGTGGCTACCAAGCAAAGAGAATCAATGGGTTTCAAGTAAAGGAGTAAGAGTGAATAGAGGGGTAGGGAGGGCCAGAAGGTTAGGGGCAGCCTGGCTTCCCCTCCTTACCTTCCGGCCATCTTTCAGCTTGATGAGTAACTTGCCACCGCTGACTCCAACAGACTGCACGATGGCATTAGGCATCACCTTAACCCCCTCTGTAAAGGCAAACGGGAGCTGTGGCTGGGCCCACAAGCCTGCCACCTTCCTGAAAGCAGAGAAGCTGACTAGATGTCCCCTGCCATACAAGCAGTAATCGTTAATATCTAGCAAGAACCAATGCCCACAGGTCATGTTCAACCCTTCTGGGAATATTGTAACAGGGTGGTCCCTAGGAAAAAGGGAATTCCAGGTTCCCTGCCCCACCCAGAAGGAGGGTGGAGTTGAGCAGAGAAAAAGGAGAGAAGAAAAGGAGAAGAGAAGAGAGAATGAAGCAGGATGGAGAACAAGGAAGAGACCTGAGGAAGCCACATGGAGCAGAAAGCATGTGATGAAGAAACCGGGCTTGTTTCCTGACCCTGGACTGGCTAAGGCAGATGTGGGTGAGAGACCTGGAGGGAGGTGACTATGGCAGTGTTTATATTGATTTTGATGTTGCTCTTTTCTTCTCAGACTTGTCTGGCCATTTCTGACCCTTTTCCATGGGTCCCGGCCAGAAGGTGCTTTAGTCTTGTGGCAGGCTTTCAGGCCTTGCTTTGGACCAATCTCTTTTGGGTGGACTTTTGCCCACGAGGGGATGGGTAACTTCAGGTGTTTGATTGAGAAGTTATATTCTTTGTGTTCCATATTGTATATTCACTGTATTAAAGTCCCTTTTCATTAAAGTTTTATATGTTTTGTCTTGTTGCGGCGGATGGCAGAACCCACTTAGAGCAGGCAGGTTTGGGGCTTCAGGGGTGTCCCTCTCCCCCTGTCCTGGAACAGATTTGCTGCCCTATAACAATATGGCATACAGACGCTGAACACCTACATAAACCTGGCTGGCTGGAGAAGAGAGGAAGCATTTTCTTTGTCTGGTGATATGGCTTATGTCAGTGGGTTTCCCAAAGAAGCAAACTTTGCCTGAGGCCTAACTCAAGGGAAGGAGCACACAAATGGAAAGAATCTCTACCTCGTCTGACTTTTTCCATGGTCCAGTTGCTGAGGTATTCAGGGAGGATCTTGCCCATATTTCCCTTCTCAGGGAAGAGCTGAATCACTTCTGTGCCCAAGGCTTGAGCTGAGAAGAAACAGTGGTTGAGCAGGAGACAAAAAAAAAATCTTAAGACAGGAAGAGAAACAAAAGGAGCAGCCGCAGCCGCTTACTGCACCCGAGGCAACACTGCCAGCCAGGCCGGAGCACCTGTTTGTGGGGCCTGGGGCCTAAAGGCTTGGTTGCTAGAGTTCCTTCATGAGGCAAATGCCATAGGACTGTTGTCCTGGGTTCCAACTCCACACTGTGAACTCAGTGTGCTTCTACCCTGGTATCCCCTCGGCCAGAGCCTGGAGCTCTCTGAATAGTAGCACCTTCCTGAGAAGATGCCCTGAGCTCACATAGCTGAAAAACAACAGTAAGAAATATGGCTGCCATGAAGGATGCATAATGGAACTCACTGATGGCTGGGAGCCACTCTGAGTGTGAAGGAGTCACTCATCATTCACATATACAGAGAGAAATTCAAAGATAAGTTCTGAGGCCCACATTGCCCTGACCATCTTAAGAACTCACTCTCCTTAATATTTTCTAAGGCCTGGCCTTAGAGGTTAGTGGCAAGGGAAGAACAAATCACTGGTTGCTCAGATGACAGCTTTTCTATCACTAAGGGATCCCTCACCAGTACAAGCTCCATGCTTAGTGTTTCACCAAAAACCTTAGCTAAATTCTTTCTGCTGATCCTGGCAAATACATCTCTGGAATTTGCGAGCACTGTGAAAAGCATGTAGTGTAAGACCAGAAAAAGAAAATCGAGGTCACGTCCCAGTACTCACCCTTTCTGCCAAGAGCACAGGCCAGTTCGCTACCAAGGAAGCCCCCGCCAATAATCGTAATCGACTTGACTTCCCGAGATATCTTCTCTAAGGTTCTAAAGTCTCCAATCTGCAGGATCACACAGGTTTAGTCCATTGATTCCCCAAAAGGGTACAGGATGATAATCAGAAAGATTTTCCTCTAAAGCTCTGACAGCAGTAATTTGCACACAAAAGCTTCTCTTTGTAGAAAGCAGCTGAATTAGTCTCTATGTTACTGATGTCAATTTCTTTCTCCACTGTAACACTCCTTCTGCAACAGTGGTTCTCAAGTGGGGGCAATTTTGCTCCCTTCTCCCCAGGGTACTTGGGGCCAAGTCTGGAGACATTTTTGGTGTCCAAACTGGCAGCAAGGAGGTGCTACTAGTCGGCAGAGGCCAGGGACGGGCTCGACATTCTGCAACGTGCAGGACAGCCCCATGGCAAACAATTATCCGGCCCCAAATGACAACGGTGCTGAGAGTGACAAAGGTGCTTCTTAGACTAGAAGAAGTCTGCGAATACCCACAAGAGTGGTTTTCATAAGCAGAGCACAGGGTCAAGAGGCAAAGCCCCCTTCCTTTTTCACTTTGGATACTATGGTTCTCCCCAAAGTGTCCACAACAGCACTTGCAATGAAAAACACCAAGAGGTTACAAGGAGTTCCAATGACTCAAATGTACCAGGAAAACAACTGTGGAAGAGCAATTGGAAGTAACTATAGCAAGCAGTAAAAACACCGAATGTATTTTTCTCCTAGGAGCTAACAACCCTTGAATGAGGTATTTGAGGTACAGGGAGAGGAAGTGTCTTGCTCAAGGGCAGATAATAAGGCTGTACAACAGCCATAAACAGGACTTGGATCTCCCCATTCCCAGGTGGGTACTCGGGACCACAAGATTATGCTCTCTCTTCAAAACCCACATGAGGACAACACTAGGCCATCACCTTTCTGAAAAGCGTTGTTCTACTTTTCACCTCTGCTCCAGCCCTGTCAATGGCAGACAGACTTCTTGGAGTGCCTCCTGGAAATAAGAGGCAGAAAACCCTTCAGCCCATAAAGCAGGATTAGGTCAACAGGCACCCCCATCTCCTACCCTCCACAAAGGTGGTGCCCGAGAGCACATGATCCTCCCATGCCAGTGCCACCATTCCATCGACAGGAAGTGATGGTTTTGTTTTCCTTCCACAGGTCTCACAACAGGGCTTTTTTCAATTTCCTGTGACAATCAGATTTGAGTCTCTCTTCCAAGGGTCCATCGGCCCCACAGATCCCCATCAGGCCGGTTCCTGCTCCCACCTGCTCTTCCAGTTTTGGCTGGGCATTCTCCAGATAGTTCCCTCCTGTGTGTAAGCAACTGCTTTGGCTCCTCCTGATTTCCAGTTGGAACTAGCAATATCACTTTGCGGACAGAAGGCAAGGGCTAAGCCACGCATACCTTCCCAGAAGGCAAAGGAAGGGGAATCCAGAAAGGTACTGTCTCAAGAAAAGAAACTGATTTCTGAGAGCCCAGTTCCAGTGCTCTTAACCTGAACTAAGGCTTTCTACTCTAAACCTGGATTGAGTTGTTTCAGGGAAGACACCACTGCCTCTAGAAACACTCACCTGTTGCAATCAGGCACTTCTCATAGGTTATCTGTGACCCGTCATTCAGCCTCACCGTGTTGCCTCTCACGTCCAGCTGCACTACCTTGGGCACACATGCAGGGAAAGATGGGATGTGAATTCACTTCCCAATTTTTTTTTGAGATACAGAAGAACACAGCATGAAATTCAATGTATTAAAGTGTGTAATTCGGTGGCATTTTAGTATATTCTTGAAGTGTATGACCATCACTCCTATCTAATTCCGGAACATTTCGATGCCCCCAAAAGGACCCCTATACCTATCAGCTGTCAGCCCAATGAAAAGAGTGACTTCTTGACCTAAGCTGGTTCTGAAGAAACTGTTTCTAAGTAACCATGGACACCACAATTTCAGGCACCTAGCTCCTTCCAAGAGGCATAACGTCCTGAGCAGGCAATGGCCGAGCAAGTCAACACAGTAAGAACATGGAGATGGGATGGACTTTTCTAGTTGGTTCTTTAGAACCCCGACTTCTTTGTTACCAACTCTTCAACATCCTCAACATTTTCTTTCTTTTTATTTTTAAAGGTTTATTTATACATGCAAGGACTGGGGTACAGGCCAGAGGAGCAAGGGCAGCAAGAGGCTTCACCAGAGACAGGGTGGGGAACCGAAAAGGCAGGTGTATGGAAACACACTGCTGAGGGGAGCAGCGGACAGGTCAGGAGAGGTCTGCTGCGCCATGTGGGTCAGCCCCGGGGCGGGGATCAAAATTATGGTACAGAGGCTGCAATAGCTTCACAGTGCTGTGCTTTAAAACAGCCTCAACTTTTTCACTGGATGCTTCTGTATTATCTACCATCAATGAAGCATCTCTCTTCCAGGGGAGGTGCGCCAGCACTCCTTCCTCACAAGGACAGGAGGAGGGGTTGGCACTTTCCAGAATCACTGAGGTTGCTGCGGCTGCTTCCAGATTCCTGTACCCTTACCCTCCCCCGGCAACTTCTATCCCTACGAACCACCACTCTGCAGCCACTTCCAGGCCCGTCGTCCTCATTCACAGAACACCTTGAAACTGGGCTCATCCTTTCCTCTGAGCCACATCCAGGATGTCCTTATCTCTTAAACCTCTATTTCTACCCCAGACACCCAACAATGAGGTCACAGCTTTCTCTCAGCCCCACTGTCAGCTCTGCTTGCTTTCAATTCTCTCAGCACCCAATGGGCAGTCTCATTCCAGCTAATCTGGGCCAACACCCCTAATTCCCTTGCACCCTACCACTCATGGTGAAGGGCTTGAGCTTTGGAGTCAGATGAACTGAACTGAACTGTCAGATGACTTTCCAGTGCTCATTAGCTGTGGGCATTCAGCCGAGGCATTTACCAAGCACCTCCATGCGCCAGGCACCGTGCAATGTGCCAGGGACACAAAGGTGAAAGAAACACACCTCCCTGCCTTCGCATCCAGTACCGAGACCGCTGTTTAGCAAGCACTGCACAGGAGAAGCACATATGACAGGTGCACCCCAGCCCAGGGCTCCCTGGAGGCAGTGATGGAAACTGAGCACGAATGGACGAGTGGCTTCTTTAGCTACCTTTGATTTGTGTGGGTTAAGTGAACTCTTCAATCCCATCCCACTACTTTGATCCCACATCACTCACTCAGTTAATCACACGATGTCCTGGCACAGACCCCATCCTTTCCTTACTCTCTCAGAACCCTCCTGTCAGTCACCCTTCCACTCAGGCCTCCCTCTCTGACACCTTATACCTTCAGCCATTCACATGCTGAAGTCTGGAAGTCGGGCGCATCCCCTTTGGGTCTCTGTCCTGCTCAAGCTTCTGTCCAAGTATCATCTCCCTTTTCTCATTTAAACTTTTCTGAAAGAGTAGTTTTTCCTCTTCCCCAGCTTTCCACTGATATGTGAACCACCAAACAGAGTGATTTCTTCCAAATCTTTGCTACCAGACCCCTCTGACGCAGTAAGACTGGAGCACATTATCCTTCGGAGTCTCTGAACTTGGCCGCGGGCTCTCCTCATAGTGTCCTCCACACGCCTTTCCCAGTCTGCGTTATGGATTACTCTTCTTAAACCTGCACCATAACTTCCGCTCCATCCTTGCCCCACTCTTTTTCTGTCTGCGTAAGTTCTCTGCGGGTGGTCTCCTTGATTCTTGTGGTTCCAGCCCCTACCCTATGCCAGTCCACGATTCCAGGGTCTCTAGTTGAGCCCAGAGTGGTCCCCCACAGTGGCAGTCATAACGCACTGCTCACAGGACATGACCACACAAACAGTCCCCTTCATACTTAACATTCCAAAACTAAACTTATCTTCCCCGTTATACTAGCTCTAGCTCGTGTGATGCCTTTCTCAGGTGGGGGACGCCCTCACTTGGACACAAAGTGGACATCAGAAAGTCACTGCTGCCTCTACCTTCTCCGTCACCTCCCACCTTGAACCAGTTACATCTGTCAAGCTGGCCTCCTCAGCCTGTTCTGCACTCTTCCTCGCCTGCCTACCCAGAAGCTATGATGATGCTATTCAGAGTTCGGGCTCTGGACTGGAATTCTGCAGTCAGACAGATCTGACTCCAGCACTTATTAACTGTATGATCGTGGGCAAATTAAGTTTTTTTATATATTCAATTTTTTTGATTGTAAGAGTTTTTTTTTTTTTTTAAAGATTTAATTATTTATGCATTCAAGAGCTGGGGTACAGGCTAGTGGTGTAAGTGGGAGTGGAGGAGTGAGAGGAGTCACCAGAGACAGAGTGGGGAGCAGAACAGGCAGATCTACTGAAATACACTGCTGAGGGGGGCGGCAGACCAGCGACAGGAGAGGTCTGCTGCACCATGTGCGTCACCCCCCTGGACGGGAACTGAACTTTTGCCAAAGCTTCACAGTGCTGCCCTTTAACCCGTTGCACCACCAGGGAGGGCCCAGTGTATAAGATCATTGTGAGGGTAAGATGAGATAACACACACGAAGCATCATCATCATCACTATCACTACTACCCTAATTCAGGTTCTCATTATCTCCCACCTGGACAAGTCCAACAGTCTGCAGAATAGTTTATTTGTAGTCTCATGCCCAGAAAGCCTTTCTCCTCACAGCCACCAGAGTGACTCTGTAACTTCAACTTTTTATATCCTCGGCTGAACACAACAGCTCCCAGTGCCCGTGGCTGAAGCGCAAGCTTGCTCGCATGACACAGGTCTCCGTGATTAGACCCCTGCATGACCCCTTCAGTTTCATTTCTTGCCTCCCTACCTTGTGTTTTCTGCCCTACTAACATGTAGCTGTGTGGGTTTCCTTCCACCAAACATGCCTGCTTACACCCTTATGCCCTGGCTTATGTTATTCTTTTTCACTTGGATGCTCTTCATTTTTCTCTAATCTAATGAATGCCTCTTCATTTGCAAGGATGAATGCCACCTCCTCCAGGAAGCCTGCTCTGAAGCCATCATTATTCAGGGCGTGCTTCCCAGTAATTCCCACAATACCTTCTGCATATCTTTCTTACTCTACATCTAGGTCTTAGGGTAATGTTCACGTTGCTGCCTAGCTCCTGGAGGGCAGGGCTTGTATATTATTTAGACACAAGGGATGCTTAATATATATTGTCTCGTTACCGGTCTGTACCTACCTTTTCTGCCTAACACTCCCCTGCAGCAGTGAATTCCCCCTGCCAAAGTGTCTGGCTTATGCTCTGGATCCCCACTACTTCCACCTTTGCTCCTTCTGATAACTACTCCCTCTCTATTGGAACTCTGCCATTTGTGTAGTACAAACACACTCTAGGACCTGCTATTAACACAACACAGCAAACCCGTGCTGGACCCCACAAACGCCCTCCCGTAACTGTCCCCACAGCAAGCACTCACCTGTATTTTCTATGCCAAGTATTTTACTATCCTGAATAATATACACTTTTCAATCTCAGCAATAATGCCAGAGAGGGCCCTCCCTGGTGGTGCAATGGGTTAAAATGCAGCACTATGAAGCTATCTGCAGCCACTGCAGCATGAGTTTAATCCCCAGCCAGGGAGCTGACCTACATGGCGCGGCAGACCTCTCCTGAGCAGCCTCTGCTCCCCTCTGCAGTGTAATTTAGTCCATCTACCGGTTCTGCTCCCCACTCTGTGTCTATTAAGTCCTCTCACCCATCACACCTCTGGCCTATATGCCAATTCTTGTATGCATAATTAAATAAATCTTTAAAAAACAATCCCAAAGAAATGGGAATGTGGAAAATAGGGAGGGAGCAGCTACAGGGTCACAGTCCCCAAGGATCTGACTTCTCTCAGAATGTTCAGCTGACACGTTTGTCTCGGCTTTGAGATTCAAGCTTTCCTCAGAAAAGACACACCAATGAGTGCAGACTGGCAATGTGAAACCTAAAATGATTCCATCCTCTGGTGAACGATCACGGCAGGATGGATGTGAATGGCAGTGGGGCAAGTCACCATAGTCGCGTCCACAGAGCATGGAGCCTGACCCAGGCAGCAGCGCACTAACTCACCTTCTTCCCCGTGAGGACGGCTACACCACCATTCTCAATGTGAGGCAGGTCCTGAGCAGACACGTAGAAAGAAGGTGGCTGGAAATAGATGCTGTACAGACAAGAGGGGAAATGCTACAGCACCTGGAGCTGCTATCAACTTCCCTTGTGTAGAACTGTTTCTATCATGAAAAATTTTAAGAACATTTTCCAAAGTAAGCCTCCGATACTACTCGATCTTGGTGGTGACTTACTTATATGGGGCTATGTCAGACACATGGTTCTCAACTAGGGCACTTCCAGTCCTGGGGAAATTTGGCAATGCCTGGAGACATTTTTGGCTGTAACAGTTTGGGGAAAGGGATGTTCTAGTGGGCAGAGTTCAGGGGTGTTGTTAAACTTCCTACAATGCACAGACCAGTCCCCACAACAGTTCTCCAGCTAACATGTCAACAGTGAGGAGGCTCAGAAATGCTGCTTTGGGTTTAGGTTCCTTGCAAAATCAGAACAAGAGTAGCACCCTAGGAGGCAGTCTTCACATGCACAGCCAAACACAAGCTGTAGAATGGTGCTGGCCTACACCAAGTCTAGCTCCTTCTGACTTTTCTACAAACAGCAGAAATTTCTGTGAGACACAAATTAAGGGATGGTTACATAGTTGGAAGTATGCATGTTGCTTGAGAACCAAACCTGACGGTGAGGTAAGAGAGGTGGGAGATTTGTAAAATTTAGTCCATTATCAAAGGGATTGCTAAGGAGGAAAAGATTCGAAATGAAAGATTATAGTACTGGAATCAAAGAGATATACAGAGTCCTTTAAAAGAAAAAGGCTTCTGCAGAAAAAAAAGGAAAAATACAGGATGATTTCTCTCATAGCAGGAATATAATGGAACAGGAGAGAAAATAATGATAATGATGAACAGCTATATACCAGAGACATTTTATGGGGGTACAGTGGGGAATGGGATCAAAACAGTGGGGGGAGGGAAATGCACTGGCCTATGGTGATGGCACATGGGTGATTTGGTGATGGGAAGCCCAAGGGGACTGCAACTGAGATGGAAAAATGCACAAAATGATGTAAAAATAAACTATTATAAAAGAAAAGAAAAAGAAAAAGGCTTCTGCACCCTTCATGCAAACATCTAATAGGAGGCTCTTTCTTAAAGAGTGTCCCCACTGTCACCCCCAATTCTGAGTGCCTGCTAGGGTATCAAAGCCAGTTCCACAGAAGAGCGCCTTCTCTCCTGCTCTTATGGGGCATGCCTAGGCAAGTGCAGACCAGTGATAACACAGGTTGGGCTGATTTTCCCTGAAGAAGTCTAATAGCAAAGGCCTTGGAAATAGTAGCACTAGTGCTTTGGCGGCCACTTCCCCTTAATTGTTGATCTGACAACAGAACCCAAGACTCTTGCCACTGTAGCCTGTCGCCTCCAAGCTCTACCAGGTGTGTATCCCGGCAGCTTCCAATGTGCAGCCATGTCACCCATTCCACACACTGCCTGGTACCTGCAAAGACTTGGCACCAGCGTCCTGTGCTTAGCTGAAGTTGCTAAGGCCCATTTTTACATAATTGAACACACCTTCTTTCTTTTCCATTCCATTGTCTGAATCGCAGGGTCTTTGTGACATTTGGATCATCTGAAAACCATAGTTCTTTTGAAAGAGGAGGTCGCATGTATGGCAGCTCAGTATCTTCTGACACAATTAGTACCTGCAGACACAAAATGACAACACTTATCAGAGTCACATGAGCGAACAGGAAGAAGTCAAAGTGTCCGCGATGGCTTCTAGCTTACAGACTACACTCTCTGCCAAGCATGACTGTGGGCACCTTACCCTGGCCCCAGGATCCCGAGCACGGATGGATCTGGCTGCAGCAAAAGCAGCAGTGCCTCCACCGATGATCAGGAAGGGAATGTGACTTGGTACCCGGACCTGAGGAACTGACTCTCCTTCTGGATCTGTAAGCGGCAGAGCAAAGGGGGGTGACTCATTTTAGTCTTAGGCGAGGCTTTGCTGCTATTTGAAAAGATCACCTGGCATTTTCCCCACTTCTGTATACAAACCTAGCAAAACACTGTGCCGATATTAAACTCAACAAATTCCACAGGAAAAGCCATATCCCTTCAGTTTACAAGCAAAAAATACTTCCCCCAAAGAGATGAATGATTTTGCCAAAGTCATTCACTCATTAAGTCTGTCAGAGTTTGAGCCTACCTTACATGCTTCGTTATTTCTAAAATACGTTAGAAAGTACATATGAGAACACATCTGCCCTTCCCATCAATTTCTTAGTCACCAACAGGAAAATATCAAGTTCAGTTTCACCTTTTATTAGCAATAAAGGGGGAAAACCCAGCAGGTCAACTGGGGCTTATTATACAATGTTCATGAATAAAAAGTTATTATTGATGAAAGCACTGTAAATTGCCCACCCAGAGTTGTGGGGGCTAATTAAAGGATTAAAACACTCCTCTCTGAAAAACCAAGCCAGTCACATGGGATGGAAATGACAGCTAGAGTTCCATTCTTTAGGAAAACAAATATATCTTTAACAACTCAAAACTCCAAAGACTCAATGGGAACAAACATACCGAAAGGTTTTTCTTAATGGGAAAAAAAAAAAGGCCAAAATCCCCTCATCTCTTTGCCAATAGTTTTCCACTCTAAGTTTGCCCTTTTTTATTGCCTTTTCAAAGCCTAATAAAAAGAACTAATCATAATCATTAATGTTACTCTCAAATCCAAATTCCAGTGGAGTGCTTGAACAAACTGCTCCCAGGAGCAGGGTAATATCTTACAATCTCACAGCTTCAGGGAGTCTACACAAAGCATTGTACCCGATCTGTTTATAATTTTCCCTTTGTACCCTGAGTTTCAAATCATACTCACCAGATAATGCTGCTATTTTCTGTTTTTCTTCTGGTGTCAGCCCTAATCCTGAAATCCGTTCATTGTATCTTTTTTTATCATTTTTCATGGTCTTGTAGGCCTGCAGACCCAAACATGGGGAAAATTAATTTCATTGTAGAGCTAGCTCATACAAGAAGTAACACCATGATCTCACAATTAAATGAGAAGCTTTTGTCTATATGAGGCTAGTTATTCTGTTAAAACTACTAAAGCAAACTATTCTCTTAAATAAAAAAATGAATATATACACATTTGGATACAATACAGGTAAGCAGATGAAAAGTTTGAGACTATGTAGGATACTAGCTATGAAACCAATTTGTATGGTCCTCAGTAAGAAGCTGTGACCTAAGGGCTCCTGGTAGATACGCCAATTGCTGTGGTTACTCAGATAATGGCCTGAAATGTGGCACCAGTAAGCAGTCTCACAGGGAAATTCATCTTTCCCTCATGGTCCATCTTTTATGACAATGGTGAATTTATTAAACATAATAAATTGAATTGCTTAAACATTTGCTGTATTTAAAATATGCTATCATCTCTTCCTTTCAAATTGAAGAATATGGTAGCATTGTGATTAGCTTTTTAAAAAAAACACACAGAGCCAGAGTAATTGGGAATTTTAAAAACAAAGTGGTAGGTAAGAATGACTTGTTTTATTTATAATATTTTTGCTATTTTGTATGCCTCAGGTTCAAGAACACAAAAATTTAAGTGACTTTATGTCAAATGAAGTCCCAGTTTGTTAACTAACTGCAGGAAATAATAAGGCCAATCAGAGGCGGTACCCTAAAACATGTTCTAGGCCAATTTCTATGACCCACAGCAGAACAACATGCTGCAAAAAGAAACCTGGATCCTGAGACCTGGACTTCACTTTTATCAATATGGCAACATCCAACATGGATTTCTAATCCAACATGGATGGATTAGAAAATTAAGAACCATTTGTTTGAAGAAAATGGTTGTTTCTTAAATTTACCACTAAATTCATCGAATTAATAAACTGAACTCAACCAGCATTAATTTCAGAAGAAGAGAAGTTTTTTTTTTTTTTAACCTTGGCATAGGATACAACAGTATAGTATTTACAAATACCTCCTATACCTTAGAAACATTTCTTCTTGAGAAAGGGACTTTTCCCAAAAAGAATGGTCTAATCTGGTCAACAAAATTGAAGAGAGAAATGAACTGGTGTCATGTTCATATTCATAGGGTATCCAAAAATAGCCTACGCCCTCTCACACCTAATGACTTCACACAAGAGGGAAAGAGCAGACCAAGAAATACCTTGGGGTTTAGTGGGGACAGGATAAAAATGAGATTTGTCATAGATTTATATACATATATCTATTTATATATTTAGCGTTTAAGTAAATATTCAGATATAAAAATATGTTCAGACATACTAAATAGAAATCTGCCTTTCACCCAAGTGTTTCTGCATTCCTACCCAGTTTAAACAATTTCCAATTAGTGACATGAACATGTCAGGTTAAGAAAAACTACAAATTTATGAAAATTAGTAGAGACAACTTTTCTAAACAGAAGTATTTACTCTGGTTTCAATGCTTTTCAAAGTTTGGGGAGGTTACATGAGGTTGTAAGGGTGGGTCCCTAATCTGATAGAGCTGGTACCCTTAGAAGAAAAGACCCCAGGGCTCCTGCTCTCTTTCCCCCTGGCCTTCTGCAAGTCAGGAAGAGAACCCATGCCAGAACCCAACTCGCTCACACCCTAATACCAGGTTTCCAGTATTCAAATTGTTGAGAAAATAAATTTCTCCTGTTTTAAGTCACCCTGTCTGTGGAATATTCTTATGGCAACCAGAACAGACCAGTACGAACACTAAATAACTTAGTCACATTTCATCACATCTGAACACTGATTTTTAAGTTAACAGCTATCATGAGGCTAATTTTCATTTCTGAGTAATAGAATCTAAGCCACCTCAGAGCAAGTTTTTAATGATTTAAAACCTAATATAAAACTATATAAAATAGTTCAGTAACAGTTACAGGAAGACAAAAGCTTATCATTTAACCTGAAACCACTGTAATACAGTAGGTTTATTATTACCAGTGTTGGATAAACACAGAGGGAAAGGAGGCATTTAACTGAATGGCTTGAGAGGAACTTGTACTTCACCGATATTTCTAAGGCCCTGTTCTGTGGCCTGGCATCAAGAGATTTGCCTGGCAGGCTTGGTGGAGGCCATCCAACTCTGGTAGAGCAACATAAACCAGAGGTTTAGCAGGTTTAAGTTGTTATCAACATTCAGAGGTGAACACTTTAAATCTATTTTTGAATGAATGGGGTGGAACTGATGGGGAAAGCTGAGCGCGCTGTGAAATGGAAAGTTATGGCTCAGAGGGTAGTGTCTGAATTATGAATGAGAGGCATTTAAAAAAGCAATCTACATGAATGTGTTAGCTTGTACCACTTCAGCCACTAGTTTGACCAAATTAGAGATTACAAAAGGGACACTGCCACAAAATTTACTTTGAAATGCAGACTGCGGCTAAGTGGAGGGAGAAGAGTGTAACTTCTATGGCGTTTGGGACCTCCTCAGAAGCACTCAATAAAATGCCTTTTCACAATAAAGTAGGGTTAATCAATGGTTTCCCACAAAACACAAAAATTACATTTTGCCTCAAATAATTGCAAATGGATGGTGGTCAAGTTACCTTTAATTTAATGTTTATTATTTGAGAATGTCTTGTTAGGTAAGCAGCACTAAAGCACAATATAGTTTAGCCTCACAGATTGGCAAAAGTTTCAAAGAACAAGTTGGTGATGTGGGTTTGTAATAATCACTCAATGCTGGCCATAGATACATAGGGCAGGACCGCAACAGTTTGAAGAATGACAGGTAAGGACTCCCTAGTGGCTGACAATGTCCCTTTAATAAATACCAAGGAAGCACATGCTGTGAATACTTCACTGTGGTCTAATGACCAAGTTTTCATTAGTGCCATAGTCTCACCCACCCTACCCCCCAAAATATATTTTAGTGTCAGCATCTTACATAATACACTCCTGCCCCAGTGACTGTTGCTCCTACAATTAAGAAGTACACTAGGCTGCTGCCATCTTTCCCAGAAGCACCTGTAGACGCTAGTGATCTAGAAGGGGGTCCTAGGTGATGACACTGCACAACTGTAGGCAAAGATAAGGCCAAGAAAGAAACAAAAGGAAATAGAAAAGGCACTAAGTATTAATGAAGAAACATTCAACACAAAGGCAGGGAAGCATTTTTTGGTTACCCTGTGCTAAAAAAATGAAAAAGAAAGAAAGAAAAAAGGCTGTCCCCAAATTGGCGGAGAATGTAGATTTCCTCAAATTCTGTTATCCTACTCTGATCTGACTGACAACTGGCAAAAGCTGTCTACTTTTCTTAGGCACTGGAGTCAGGTCAGGGTATGATTATTTTCATGGGCCTCTTTTTTTTTCTTAATCTAGTAATCAAGCAAACGAAGATAAGTTCCTGACTTACTGTCTTGCAGAAAGAACCCAAACTGTAATGGTGTCCAGCCATTTGCTCTCAATAAATAAAATAACCTCCTTCAGTCAAGAGTATTACTAGGTATAATCTAAGTTGGTTCACTCAACCTTACATGATCCAACTTTAGACTATGTGCTTAGTCACAGTAACCCCTGCCAAATTAAGGGGGGGAAAAAAACCACAGAATAATTCCTGTGACCATTTAAGCTAACCAGAGTTCATTTAAGGAGATATAATTGTGTTAGTTCTATGTAGCAATTAAAAGCAAATTTCTCACCTCACACAAACTCCAACTGAAAAACTGGAGATACTAGGCCTGCTTCTAGAATTTAGTCTTTGGGTGAGACTCAGGGAGTTTTCCTCTTAGGAATGCTTAAAGTTGTTAGTTTTTTTTTTTTTTAATGTCTATCCCAAACTGAAGAAAAATAAAACAGTTAACAAATGGGTCAAAATCAAATATTGTGCTAAGGAGCTGCAGTGAATACTGACCTTACTCATAGTTAATTGTATCACATCTAAGAGGAGAGGTACAATTTGATGGGTTAGTCAAGTCTAAGAAAACACTGGCTTTCAAGAGTAAAAAGACAAGTGAAAAGAGCAAAGATCAATCAACATGAGAGTACATTTCAGTCATTCCCAAATTGACTTTCATACAGCACTGGACAGTAGGAACTTGAAAGAAGGTTTTTGGAACTTTTTTTCAAAAGGAGAAATGGGAATTAGTTGTAGAAGTTTTAAAGCAGAACAGAATTGAGCCTATTAATGGGAGCTGTTTGCAGCCTTTCACACACGCTGCTCGTTTACTTACATATGCACCAGCTCCTACTGTTGATAAGCCCACAATAAGGACTAACACAGATTTATCGATTTTGCCCCCTGATGCACCAGAGCTAGCCATTTGTCTTGTCATCTGGAGCTCTAGAGGACCATGCCATCGCTGGAACAAGTTGCCTAAGGAACACAATTTATTAAGACACACACATACAAAAATAAAATAGTTAATACATATTTATGACTTAGTTTAATGAGTTGTAAAATAAAGACTTACTGCCCACTGGGCTGCATTAACTTCACTGTTAAATGATCAAGGAAAAAAAACCATCAAAACTGTACACATAAATATTACAGATTTCAGAATGAAGTCTTAAGTTGTTGGGAGTTTTTAAGAGTACATTTTAATGCTGCCCAGGGAGAAATTTACAGCTTCCAGAAAAGATAATGAAAAACATATGGGCAGTTCATCAAATACTTTTCTCCACTTTATTAAACACAGAAATGACTGAATAGGTAGATAAAAAATTGACTCCAGTTACCTGGGACATTACAACAGTGATTAAGAATGGCCCTCCCTAGTGGTACAGGGGTTAAAGCACAGCACTATGAAGCTATCTACAGCCACAGCAGCACAAGTTCAATCCCTGGCCAGGGAGCTGACCCACATGGCGCAGCAGACCCCTCTGTCTAGCCCGCTGCTCCCCTCAGCAGTGTATTTCAGCAGATCTGCCTGTTCTGCTCCCCCATCTGTCTCTGGTGAACCCTCTCACCCCCCTTGCACCTGTGGCCTGTACCCCAGTTCTTGTATGCATAAATAAATAAATCTTTAAAAAAAGCATAAATCAGGCCCTCCCTGGTGGCGCAGCGGGTTAAAGCACTGCACTGAGAAGCTAAAGCCACTTCCGCATGAGTTCGATTCCCGCCTGCCCCGGAGGTGACCACATGGCGTGGCAGAACTCTCCTGACCCGCCCGCTGCTCCCCTCAGCAGTGTACTTCGTCGATCTGCCTGTTCTGCTCCCCGGTCTGTCTCTGGTGAAGACTCTCACCGCCTCTGAGCCTCTGGCCTGTACCCCAGTTCTGTATGCACAAATAAATAAATCTTTAAAAAAAAAAAAAGCATAAATCAATAGTCACTGAAGGAGTCCTCAAACCTTGCACAAAATAATAAAACCCTAGCATACAATCTAATCAGGACACAGTTCAGTCTTGTGTAAAGGTATTATGTCCTGGAAGACAGAAATTTTAAAGATGGAGGAAAAATCAGAACTGTTTGAAAAGTGATTCTATCTCTCCTAAAGAACTGAAGAACATCAGACTATGAATTCTTTTTTAGAATGACCAGATGTAAAATATCCACCAACTGCTTGGTTCTTACTCTTCCAAAATATAGATTATGGTGATATAAAAGTCTGTATAATTAATTATTTGATGATCATAACAATCTCACACAGGGCAATATAGGAGGTTTCATAGACAAGTCCCAGTACCTTCTCTGCTTGACAGTCCACATGGCGACTTGGACCTAGAACAAGGGTTTACAAACTTTCTGTAAAGGATCTGAGAGCAAGTATTTTTGGCTTTTATGGCCATATGGTCTCTGCTGCAACTATTCAGCTCTGCTGGTATGGCACAACAGCAGCCATAGATGATAAATAAATGAACGAGTGTGGCTACATTCCAATCAAACTTTACTTATGGACACTGAAATTTGAATTTTACATAATCTTCATGTGTCACAAAAGTTATCTACTTTTGATCTTTTCCAAATTGTCTGTAAAATGTAAAAGCCATTCTTGGCCCTAGGAACACAGAGCATGTGTTTGGCCTGTGGGCCCTAGTTTGCTAGCCCTGACCTAGAGCAGTGGTTGTCAAACCTGAGTATGCTTCAGAACCCCTGGAGGGCTTGTTAAAACCAAGAAGACCAGGTCTCACCCTCCAAGTTTCTGAGTCAGGCTTAAGAACTGGCATTTCTAACATGTGCCAGGTGATGGTGAAGCTTTGCAAACTTAGTCTAGAAGCAGGTGGATAGCTTCCTGGTCTGACGAGGCTTACAAAGATGGTGGTCATAGCATTCAATCTACACTTGTAGAGGCCACAGATGGGGTGCTTCTTAGATGAACACAGAGATTGGAAGTTAATAGACTAATGCCCCAAGGCCACTTGGGTGCATTATTACATAATTTAACTGAATTTTCACAAAAGTTCTTCTGTTTAGGTATGAAAAATACAATTTTTGAGGGGCAGGAACAGTCTCAGAAAGATTAAATATGTTAGAAGACGTATGAATATTTCAATATATCTCCTAACAGTTAATATATCATAGAGTTGAACTTTAAAATTAGGGTGGGTAATAGAGTAAAAATGAAAACAATGAACAACTATAAGCCAGAGGCATTTTATAGGGGTAGGAAGGGAAATGGGATCAGAACTGGGGTGGGAAGAGTGCACTGGACTGTGGTGATGGCACATGGGTGAATTGGTGATGGGAGGCCCATGGAGATTACAGCTGAGCTGGAAAAATGCACAAAATGAAGAATGATGTAAAAAAATATATATGGTGCAAAAAAAAATAAAAGGCTGAGTTTCAAAAAAAAATTGGGGTGGGGTAGAAATAGGGCACTTCTCCCTGGCTTTCACAATTTCAGGGCAAAGAAGGCAAAATATGTCCAACACAGGCCTGTGGTTCTTACCTGAAATCCTCAAGAGACTTTACTTCAGAACTTGAAACTGTTAGGTCTTAACGTAAACTTTGTGCATTTACCACACAGTAAGCAACACCCCGCACAACACCGAGCACAGTGCACCCTGTACACTCACAGCTCAGGGCCCAGTCACACTGGGTGGGGTAAGTAGGGGTCTGTAAGTAGCCGCTCTCCAGTTCAGGTCAGGTTTTACTGGTCAATGGCTTACAAACCTTGATTTTGAGTCCTACGTTGACTTCTCAATTATAGATAAGAGATATGGAAACGTGTTTTTCCTTACTCTTTTTTTTCCTTACCTGCTTTTAGAATTCTTCATCACCACATAAAGCAAAATGGTTTATATTTGGAAGCAACAAGCCATAAAAACAAAGACATATGCAAGGGTAGAAAAACTTATCTCAATCTGGATAAGCTTTTGATTTTCAGAAGTCCACAATCACGATGAAGCATCATCATCAGAAGACATCAGAGAACTCTCAGAGATTAGAAAATGAAACTGGTTAGAAAAACTTCCACGTGGTTTTAGTTCAACACGTTTAGTTTTGCTTCCCACTGCCACCCTAAGTTTGTTTATTGAAAACGAATGTTTTTTCAAACATTCCATTTAATCCCTCTGGAAGAACCTAAGATCAGAGATCATAACAACTTTGTTTTATTATAATACTAATATTTTTATTCTGTTTTTGCTTGCTTTTCACAAACTGGTGGATATAAGAGTGTAAATTTGGGAAAGTTCATCAGATTATTGCCTTAAATTGCCAAAAAAAGAAGAGATTTTGTAAAGTAAATTTTGATTTCCTGAAATGCAAACTGGTTAATACCTAAACCAGTACTCAAAAAGAAATATAACACTATTTTCATTAACAAACCAGATGTTTTTATATCTATAAGGGACATAAGTTTGTGGTTTAGTACTGTACAGATGTTTATACTCCCTATTCCCCATTTCCTATAAAATTACTACCTATACTATAAGTAGAGGTTCAAAATTTTACCTGATTGAAACATGTCTTTTCACTTGTCTTACTAAAGGGGGAAAGCCAACTTATTCCTTGACTTCTCATTACTATTTTAGCTTTTCTGCAGTCAGACCACACACATACACAGGGGGTGTTTTCTTCCTCACAATTAAGATACAATTCCTTTTTAAAATTTAATATATTTATATATATGATTGCCATAGTAGCAATAAGTATGTCAGATAATTATCAGTTTTTCTTAGTATTCGGAATAATTAAGATATGCTCTCTTAACAAGTTTGATGATTATAATACTGCCATCTACATTTACTATACTGTGGAAGGATTCAATTCTTGAACTGCTACACAGAGTAACAGAGCCTAACATATAGTAGGTGCTTACTTAATAAATATTTGTTGAATCAATGAATGAATGAATAGAAAAACTTGCCCAATTCTATTGATAATGACTGAACATTTTGAAGACTACTTTGCAAAGAAGCTTTAGTCAGGTTCCATTTACTTTGGGTTGCTTAATAATAAATTAGCAACCTTGAATACCAGAGACTAGCATTAGAATAGTACCAAAAACAACTCACTTTTGTGGATTTAATAATTTCTGGTGTTTCTATAATCCCAGAAGGCCTTTTCCAGAAATATATCCACAACTGATGCAGTTAGGAACCCAAACAGTTAAGAGGTCTGTGTTTTTGACTCTTGTCCTCTGAACAGCAAACTGATTTTTCCAACACGGATAAAACACAGATGGGACAAACAGAGATCTGTACACTCTAGCTAGGTGCCTTTTAAACAGCAATCCAAAGACCATTTACCTCCAGCATTTACTGGTCTTTTTGTTGTTGTTCTGGTAAAGCACCAACCTGGGTTGGAATTTTAGAAAATCAGCTACTTTAATGAAAGGCGCCAAAGGAAAAATCATTGAGATGACAAAAAGAGCACAGTTACACCAGGGTTCAACACTGAGAATTTACCATGTGCCAGTAAATAGGTAGGTAGGTAGGTAGGTAGGTAGGTAGGTAGGTAGGTAGGTAGGTAGGTAGGTAAGACATAATATAATCCCTGTCCTTAGGTCATATGTAGTTGAGGAGGGGAGAATGGTGGTTATTATTCTGAGTATCAGAAAATGGGTTTGATATAAATCACAAGAGACTCAGGGTTGCTTGGTCTGGATTTTTAATCCTTAAGTCTATGAAAGAGAAGGAAAAGAAAATCCATTCACTCAAAACTATAATTCTCAAGCATGCCTGATTAGATGAACTGCGCTGAGGGGCTTGATAAAACATAGATTGCCAGGACTCTCCCCTGGAGATTCCCATTAAGTAGGTCTGGAGTCAGCCCTCAAGTAGATTTACAAGCAAATTTTGGAAATGTGATCTCGAAGAAAGTTGCAGTATGCAGCTTTCAAATGTTAGAAAATTTCTGGAAAACAACATATTAACTGGTTGAGAAAAGGCTGACTTGCCAAAAATTTTCTTCTGAAAATCTCTGCCTCAGCAGAAAGAATGAAGAAAGGCTCATCTTCTAGGTTTCAACAACAAAAAAAGTATCACTTGGCAGAGTCCAGGAAGTCTGGATTCTTGCCAACAAGGAGTCCAGGTTCCTTTTTAAGGAGGTGGGAAGGATTCTAAATAGAGGGACATGTTCAAACATTTGACCCTCAAATCAGGGGTCAGTGATCAGTATGATCACACAAGCAGCAAAATGTTCTGTGACCAAATCAAACAGAAAATATCTATTACCTAACCTGTCTGATGCTCCTTGGTGCTAAATGCAGACACAAAGTGGTGCCTACTAGGCACTGTGAAGTATTTCTGAAAAGAAGCAGAGTATCCACATAAAGTAAAAAAGAAAATAACTGCAATTATGGTTTTAAGGCAAATGGTAACACAAAATGGCAATGAACCTGACAATGGTGACAGACATGAAATCATCTCAAGCTAGGCTTGCTAACATCCTAGTCAAGGACTGGGGAAGAGATGGAAGTGGGGTAGGAGAAATGACATATAAAAAAAGACAATGCCTCTGCCTCAACTATGTGAAAATATATGATAGATGTCCTTTGTTAAAATGAGTAAGATTAGAAGCAAATAATAATCAAGCTAACCGATTAAGGTTAATTCTTAAAATGATAGAATCAATTTCTTTTTGAACCTGGAACCTACCCCCACTATTTCTAAAGACAAATGATGTTACACTTTGATGCTTGGCCAAACAACAAAGAACAAGTGTATATATAGTGATGGATGGCTATGTCAGGAAGTCAGAATATATTCTACGGCGGAATGCCTTTGAGCCAAGTCATGCAATGGAAAAAAAACATTTTGAGTCTGAATTTCCCACTATCAACAACCACCACCAAATGTCTAATCAATCAGTTTAACTTGCAAATCCATATTTCATCAATGAAAACTTTTGGCCGGACTTCAGAATACCAGGAAAAGTTGTGAGGCAAAATAAGTCTGTGACGTTTGAAAGACCAGTGGATAAAAATCTTCAGCTAACCTAAGTTATCGTGTCAATTTCTGTACACCTTGCATAGAGCACTATCATTTGAATCACTTGAATACAGAAAACCCATACAGAAGACATCACTTAAGGGGTGTTAGTTAACAGCAAAGACAGAGAGTTTTACATTCCAAGTGCAATTTGTTTAAGCACGTGCCTCAGATACACCCATCATGAAACATTTTCTTGAACTGGAAAAACGGTTCAAATATGTATCTGCTAAGTTGTTTCTAAGGGAACTATTTTCCACTTTTTATTTTAAAGGACCCTGAAGGTGGTGCCACGTTGGGAAGCCTCAAGGATAATTTGACATTATATATGTGAACATCCTCAGGTGGCCATTCAAAGATTACTGATTTAAAAACAGCAAAGCATCTCGCACAGGTGGAGAATCCATTACCCCCTTGGAGTTGTACAGGTGAAAAACCAGCAGGTTCAAGACATGCTCAGATCAGTTCACAGGTATCTGGTGAAGGATAGGTTAAAAGGAAACTGGTTAAGTGGAAGAAACAATTCATTTTTAACCTTCTGAGGTCAAACTTTAGAAGGCAGTTCTGAGTTGTAGCAAGGGCACTAGGGGCCCAGAGGCTGAGTAACTATCCGTTGCTCTACCTATTAGGCATGTGACCTTGGGCAAGTAATTTCACCTCTCTGTACCTCGGTTTATTATCTATAAAAATAAGTGGGTTGAACTTCACCACGTAATCCCTTCCGGCTCTAAAATTTAAAGGAATAACTTCAGAGGCAAAATACAAAGCATCCTGCAAGCTGTTTCTTTGAAACAGCATTAAAGACCACCAAGAATTACACTAGTTAAATATCTCAAACTAATTGTGGGCCAACTCTTCTGGGGTCTGGCAAACAACCAACTGACTCCTTACTCGCACTGAACACTGTTACACACGGCACTCAAAGCTAGGGATCTCTTGTAGGGTTTGGAACGGAAAGCAGGTAATATACTCATTTACGTAAGGATGTTAAGGCGGCAGGGCTCAAAAGTCCCGTTTAAAAGTCTCGCAATCCAAAAACACCAAGTCGATTTGACCTCATTGCTCCAAAAAGGTGGCCTGGGGGTGGTGGAGCAGCGACATTGGACACTAGGTGATGGCTAGCTGTCCTGTTATCCCTGAACAGCAAACCCTCCCGGGAAAAGGCCTCAAGCCGACTACTGGGTTTCAATTCCCTTGAAGGTCAGGTCGGCTCGGCTTGCGAAACTCACAGCTTGGATTCCAACAATTCAGAATTCACGCAACTCTAAGTGTAAGTTTCTCCAGGGGTTGGGGGGTGTGGGGGAGGCGCGGGCTCAGAGGCTTTGGGAACCCATGGCGCTCAGGCCTCATTGAGGTGGGGATTGCACGGGATGGGTCAGTCACCTGGGAGCCGGTTCCTCTGCCTCGGGCCTCGGACACACACTGTCCGCACCAAGGGCGCCAGCTTCTGCTTCAAAGCACCCGCTGCCAGGCCGCCACACCGGAACATTTCGGCAACCGCTACTCCACCACCTCCTTCTTCCCTTTCTTCTCACGTGCCCACCAACGGGTCAAACACCGGGGGACCCGGCCAGCTCCCCTGCTCCCTTCACACGCACCCTACGCAGGCTCCTCCTTCCAGCTCCGGGTGGGCATTGGACAGTTCAGCCGGCCTGCTAAAGCAGGGGAAGGGGAAGCGCGAGTGGAGCCCTACTACGCAGGCGTGGCATTCAGCGCCGCCCTGCCATTGGCTCGCACGGTGAGAGCGTTGCGCATGCGCCTGACGGTCCGCACGCTCACACCAACCCCGCGGGAGTTGATTGCAAGTTTTCGCGGGTTATGAGCTATGCTTTGAGCTGAGCGAGTGTGGAAAACTGTCCAGGAGACACCCTTACGGCCTCTTTGTCTGGTTGTTGTGGCCTGTGCTGCCGCTGCGTCGCTGGTGGGAACGGCACCTGACAAAGCGTGGCCCTGGCACCGCACTTTGTTCTCTTTTAGGTCACTAGGTGCTGAGCTAATCCTTCCGGATTCGCTGGCTGTGATCCACTTCCACTCTTTCCATGGTCTGAAATGAGGCCCTTGGCTTCCCAGATTCGGAATACACTTCCGTTTTTTACACACCCAACCACTTTTTCCAGAACAAGTGATCTTTCCACACTCTTTCCCCATATCACTTTTATATTGTGAAATTCTGTATCTTAAATGCTGTAACAGGTGCTGTAGAGAGTCTCTTAGTATTATGACTTCTGTGCTTAAGGACCTGATACTGGGAGGGATTCCATGCTTCACAGAATGAGAGAAATCCTAAGCAGGATCTTGAGAGGTGTGGCAGTAAGGATGAGGGGGTTATGTGTTTATAGGTGTTTTCATTCTGACAAGTGTTAGCCAAATTGGAAATAAATCATGGCAAAATACAGCATATGCCTTTTCTAAAGATTTGGGTTACATGTTCATTTAACAAATATTTATGTAGCGCCTGCAACTTAGGTTCTATTCTGAAAGGGGCTCTGGGAGACATGAAAAGTATAGGAAGTGCTATCTGTCTAGTTGGAGACATGATATACACCAGTCTTTTAAGTAATAGGTAATATCTGATGCAGTGCCAGAGCAAAAGAGTATGGAATGGAATAGCTAAGGGCTTCGTCCAAGAAGTGTTCTTTGAGCTATATCTTGAAGAGCCAATAGTAAAATACAGAAAGACAGTGGAGGAGGAATGACATTATATGGTTAGTACATGAGAACCAAAGGTAATATTTTTCGTGATCCAGCATAGTTATCTTTGGTTCCAATCTGCTCTGGTTTGAATAGTGGCTCTGCCACTTAAGCGACCCACTTAACTGTGCCTGTGCCTCACTTTGTTCATGTATCAGTCTCACAGGGTTGTTATGAAATTAAATGGGCTAATATTTGTAAAGTTAGAGGAAGCACCATGCTGTTTAAATGTAAAGTCTTTTTTTTTTAAGATTTATTTATTTATGCATACAGAGCTGGGGTACAGGCCAGAGGTACAGGGGCAGTGAGAGGATTTACCAGAGACAGAGTGAGGAGCAGAACAGGCCGATTGATGAAGTACACTGCTGAGGGGAGCAGCTGGCGGGTCAGGAGAGGTCTGCCGCACCATGTGGATCACCTCCAGCAGGGATCGAACTCATGCTGAAGTGGCTTTAGCTTCTTAATGCTGTGCTTTAACCAGCTGCGCCACCAGGGAGGGCCCTAAATGTAAAGTCTTAAAGGTATAAAACAAAACCCAGCACATTTTCAGGTGACAATGGCCAAGTACATACTAAGTAATATGGTTAGCAGATTTGAACTGATATTGTTTGAGCCTGACCTTGTAGATGATGAAATGTTTATTTATTTATTTATTTAAGTAGAATAGGGCTAGGGAGTGAAATGACAAATGTACTGTTTTTGGAAGTTTAACCTAGAAAGCAGTATTTTTATATTGGGTAAAAGTCTGAGTTTCCATTACTCATTATGAATAGATGGCTGGGCCTCCCTGGTGGTACAAGAAGTTAAAGTGCTGCACTATGAAGCTTTCCACAGCCACTGCAGCACAAGTTCAATCCCTGGCCAGGGAACTGACCAACATAGCACAGCAGATCTCTTGTCTTGCCCACTGTTCCATCCAGCAGTGTGCTTCAGCAGACCCAACTGTTCTGCTCTCTGCTCTGTCTCTGGTGAATCTTCTCACCTGCTCCACCCCTGACCTGTACCCCTGTTCATCTATGCAAAAATAAATAAATCTTTTTTTAAAAAATAGATGAATGTGGGCCCTCCCTGGTGGTGCAGCAGGTTAAAGCACTGCACTAAGAAGCTAAAGCCACTTCCGCATGAGTTCAATCCCGCCTGCCCTGGAGGTAACCCACATGGTGTGGCAGACCTCTCCTGGCCTGCCCGCTGCACCCCTCAGCAGTGTACTTCGTCAATCTGCCTGTTCTGCTCCCCACTCTGTCTCTGGTGAATCCTTTCACTGTCCCTGTACCTCTGGCCTGTACCCCAGCTCTGTATGCATAAATAAATAAATCTTAAAAATAAATAATAAATAATAGATGTATGTTCAGACTTGCAGGCAGTGAGTGACTTCTTACCTAGTGCTGCTTGGAGGGGCAAAATTGAAAATATCAATTCTGCAATATGATAAAATAAAGATACATTTAATATTTTAATGGCCATATATATATATATATATATATATATATATATATATATATATTTGCTATCTCTAAAAGCCAATAATAAACATGGATTGATTAACTACAAGGTAGTAGTATCAGTTGGTGAAAGAGGCTTTGGAAAACTGTCCAAATTGTGATGGTCAGGTACCTGTGAAAACAACTGTGTAAAATTGAAGGGGGGGAAAGCATGTAATGATGCATAAGAAACACAAAGTAAATAAATACTCTATAGCACATTTATTTTTTAATAAAATGCAATAAAGTGGTTTCTTGTCATTTTAATTAAAAATTATATTTTATCTCTCTCTTTTTGCAAGAGCAATATTCACACATTGGACTAACTCCAAAAACATGAGTGGAAGTTCTCACCAATCTTGCCCCCCAGAGGTATCAATTTTTATGAAGGTATTATAAAAGCACATTTTGAGATATCACATTTCCAGAAATCAATGTCTCTACCTTACAAATAGAAGGTGAACTCTTATAGTAAGTGACAAGTTTTTGCCAGAAGCATACATCTAAATAATTTTATATGTGTTTTGTATCTTGTGGGCAGTTAGTGTTTGTTCTGGCTAGGAGCTGGCGAAGCTTTCCACTCTACTAGATAGATCTAAGTAACAGTTGCCTCCCCACTCCCCCCTTTTCTAACTACTCTTCTGCAGATAATAATCAAAGAGATTTACATTTGAAAATACAGAGGAGAATAAGGCAGCAAACTGTTATCTGAACATCAACCAATACAAACTGCTGTACAATAATGACTGCTATGCACACTGCCTGATCATAATGATGATCTTGGATTAGCCAACTAAGATGGAATCTTTCTAGAGGTGGTTTTAAAATTGAATGGTATAATGTAGGGTTCAGAAATAGGTGACCTACATAGCTGCTAAAAGAGTTAGTACAAATATACCTGGCAACTCAGGCTGAAAGGCTTAAGCTATTTCCCATACATGTTTGGTAAGTTGTATTGGCTGAACAGTCGCAACTTGCTTTCAGATTTATCATTTATGCACTGAATTGTTTTTCTCATAGCAGGAATGGATTTAGTTGTGGTAATCTCTTCCGCAGCTCGGCCTCACACACAAATAAATTGGCATTTCACGTGCATTGCTGGCATCCCCGACCTCGTGGCGTTAGCAAATAATTCCTCTACTGTTACAGTTAGAATATGTCGATATTACCTTAGCCTAGTAAACATGAGGAAGGATAAAGTCTTAAAAACACATAAAAAGACTTTGTTTTATTATTTGTCAATTGTATCAGAATAAAGTTAATTTTACATAGATTCGGTGCCAGCAGACCTCTTCTGGTAGAGGGAGTACAGGCCTGACCAAGATACTGCTCTCGGCAAGCTTTGGGAAGCTGCCCCGAATGCCGCCGTAAGAAAGTTCTGTTCATGTATCATTTTCCAAGCATAATCTGGGCTCCTGGTAAATTAGACCCAACCACTTTGTTCTACATTCACATACAGAGGGGTGAACCTTCCTAGGGGTTTCCAATTCCCTTTCAAACCCCACCATTTCTGGAAAGACTTACAGTATATGGAGGGCTGGGAAACGCAAGTCACTGTGAGGTCTTTGCCTTCTCCCAAGATCCCTCCACCGGGGCCTGTAACGGTTGGCCCTAGAAACAAAGTCCCCTTTTGCTAGAGCTGCCTCTGCTAGCGTGCCCCCTTCTCAATCCCGGCTTTGGTCCTCTCTTGCAGCGGGCCTTCCCTATTGGCCAGCCATACACAACCGACTGCGGCAGCCAATGGGAGCTGCTCTCCTGAACATTCTGGGGATGGGTGCTCATGGTGTGATGAGGGGAGGTTGGCGCCTGGCACGCGCCCCCCTACATCTGGCAAGTCTGTGACAGAAACAGTAACTCCCCTACACACTGCACACCGGTGCCCCCGGCTCCCTCCCCTCAGCTGTGCCGGGGGTTGGGGGGGGTTGGGGGGTGCACGACCCAGGGCGTGTCTTGGCTGCACCCTCCCGGCTTGCTTGGGGCGCGCGAGTGCACCTGCTTACTCAGTAAAACAGAGCATCCCTTTATGCCAAGGCTCCGGAGAGGGCCGCCCAGGCGCCGCTCAGCTGCTGGGCTCGGGCTCGGAAGGTGAAAGAGGGATCTTCGTCCTCCACCCCGCCCCCGCCGCGTTCCGTAGCCTGGAGGCCGAAGTGCTCCAGAAACGCCTTAGGGTGCAGCTCCTTGCGCTCCAAGAAATTGGGGGTGGAAGCCCGAAACCTCTAACATAAATGGGGGCAAGGAGAAAGACAGTCCTCGGGGCTGTGCGTGCAGTCCTCCCCACCCGATATTTTCTCTCCTCAGGGGTCTCAGGGCTCCAGGCAGGGGAGGGGCGGCGGCGGCGGCTCCTGGGACGCCCTAGGATCGCGCACCCCAGCGTCCGGTCCCGGGGCGCAGGCCCAAGGGAAGGCTCGCGGCTTGCCCACTCTCCTCCATCTCCCCTTCTCTCCTCCCCTCCCTGGCTTTTGTGTTGGTGCCTGGGAGCTGCGAGGAGGGTGCGCTGGAGAAAGAGGAGGGGGGCCTGGGGTGAGAGGCACCCCCTGCGCGCGCGCACACGCTGCCGGCGCACGCACACCCGGGCGGACATAGACTCACAGACACGCACACACGCGCGCACACGCGCACACACACGCACAAAGCTCGCTCGCCTCGAGCGCACTAACGTGGCCATTTCTTTGTGTGGAGCCCTCGAGGGGGGTCGGGGCCCGGTCCGGTCCCGGGGAGATGGCACAGCCCATCCTGGGCCATGGGAGCCTGCAGCCCGCCTCGGCCGCCGGCCTGGCGTCCCTGGAGCTCGACTCGTCGCTGGACCAGTACGTGCAGATTCGCATCTTCAAAATCATCGTGATTGGGGATTCCAACGTGGGCAAGACCTGCCTGACCTTCCGTTTCTGCGGGGGGACCTTCCCGGACAAGACTGAAGCCACCATAGGCGTGGACTTCAGGGAGAAGACGGTGGAAATCGAAGGCGAAAAAATCAAGGTGATCCAGATGGTCAGGTTCGGGAAGGGAGGGACCCGGGAGAGGGCCTCGCTCCAGCGGTTGTAAATGTCCAGGAGCGGCCGGCCGGGTCCCAGCTTGCTGAGCCCACAGCTCTAGCGCCCCCTCATTACCTTTCACCTTTCTCTGTAGCGGTCCCCACTCGCTCGCTTGTGTTGTTTTCCTAAAGGCAGGCGGGAGTGCGGCTCCTCTTGCCCTTTGCCCTCGCCTGACAGCTTCAGCTGGGAAAAACATGTTCGAGCCCATCCTTGACCCAGCGCCGGAGCAGTGGCACCTGTGGGTGGCGGGAGGCGTGAGGCGTCTCTTGGACTAGGTCTGTGGGATGGACCCCAAAGCACTTTACACGTCCTGCGGTCCCTTTTGCCTCGTGGGTGCCAGCAACCCGCAGAAAGCCACTTTGACGAAGTCCGGAGGCATGGGGGTCGGGGAGTTGGGGGGGACGAGGGGCACCCTTGGAGAACAGGGCTTTATTTTATATTGCAGTCTCTCCTTAAGATTGATGCTGAGTTGGAATAGGGAAGTGGGTGGTTCTGGCACAAACCTCACAACCTTTTAAAGATCCTGAGACAGGGTTGCCCTCCAGCCTGCCCTAGCAGACAAACGTGTTCCTTTGGAGCTGTTCCTCAAGCCATTTTCCAGCCTGGGGCACCGAATGAGCAGAACTGCCTGGACTCATCCTCAGCAGACCTCTGTAAAAATGCAGAGCACCTTTCCTGAGGTGACCTCCTCTGACCAGGTGTGAGCACTCTCTGTCCAGAACAGATAGAAATTTGATAGGACAGGAATATTTCCGTGTGGAGGGAGGGCATGGCAAGGGCAGCTCCAGGGGCCCAGGGAACAGAGGGAGGCAGGATATTGGGCAGAAAGGGATCCCCCACATCACTGGGCATTGGAGGTCCAACAGACCCATGGCTGGCCTTGTTCTGAGCTCTGGTCAAACCCTGTCAGGGGAAGGTAAACCTCCCTCTGGCTGCTCAAACAGCTCTAATGACTAAGAGGCTCAGCTTCTGAGGAACGAGGAGGGGGCTGGAGAATGTAAGGATGATGAAAAAGTCAAAACTGTGCATGACCCCTAACTCCTTAGTTACTAAAATGAACATGTTTTCAACTGGCTTCAGAAATCGGGGCAAGGCCCTAGAAGGTCAGCAAGGCTGGCTGCTGGCCTGAAACAGTGAGCTTTTTCTGTCATACATGGGAAGTGGGATGGGGGGGAACGCTGCTACCTTCCTTTTAAAAATCTCTGTAGGACTCTGTAGAGGATTCTGTAGCTCTCTATAGGACTCTTATGTTGACATTTGCTTAGCTAGGGCTTTTTCTGGCACATCTGGTGTTTTAAATGCCAGGGTGTAAGATTCTGGAATTTCTAAAACACGATTTTTTCCAAACTCGAGAGATATTTATGGATGTGCTCTTCACTCCTCAGAAGCCTTAAACTTGAAAGCTATCGTCTGTCTGGTATCGAAGGGCACACAGAGCCAAAGAGTTGTCTGGATTTAAGAGAGAGAGGAACTATGTCCACTTGAAAGTTAGATGGAAGGAAAAGGGATTGGGAGTCCAGGGGAGGAGGGGGAGGAGGGAGACCTGGAGCAGGGAGGAGGGAGGTAGAAAGTGGGAGATGGGATGTGAAAACAGGGGAGGAATGTCACCACCCAGTGGCCTAGGAAAAAAATTTCTAGAGGATTCTTCCCTTCCAGCACCCCAGTACTTCAAGCCAAACTGGATTTTACAGTGTGAGCCAAAGATTCCGGACTTGTTCCCAGAGGGCAGAGCTGGTGACAGTGTGACTCACTAGTCACAGAGCTCAGCACAGCGCCACGTGCAGATAAGTGCTTAATCCAGGCTTTGGGGGAAAGATGATACTTTTAAGAGGGCAAAGCCTGTACCACTGCCTTCAGAGGTGCTCTCTGAGTACAGAGTCTGAAGGAATTCTGAGTGGGGTGTGGGAAGGGAAAGGTGGTGACCCTGCCTCTCATAACGAGGCTGCCACCTCAGGGCCAATGCCAGGCAGACCAACATGTCTGTGGGAAGACAGCAGAGCCTGGCAGCTAGCATATGAATCCCACGGGAGATCTTGCCCCACACTCCGGCTGGCTTGGATTTGCTCAAGGAACAAGTGCCAAAACCATGCTGGGAGGTGACTCCCAAAGGCTCCCCTGTTGGGGTAGAGAGAACAGTCCAGTTTGACAGCAGGCGGTAGTGTCAGCACAGCCAGCAATAGAAGATGGCCAAGCTATGGAATGCCGGCCCTTGAAGGAGCTCCTGGCAAGGTCTCAGAGCCTCTGTGCCCCAGTCCTGTAGGGTGCTCTGTCCTCTGCCTCCCTCTGGCCCACGGCAGCTCTCCTGACAACCTCTGCAGGGACAAGACTGATTCAGCTCTTCCCGGCTACTGTCTGAATTACCAGGCCCATCCCTAGGGCTTGGAAGCCTGTTTGGTGTCTCTGATCAATGTGTCCCTATCCTCTCCCCATGCCATTTAAAGTCCAGTGTTTCCTGGTTTACTTGAACAAGGAGAAAAACCTCCAATGAGTAGGCAATAATCATTACAGTGACAACTTCAATTTACTGACAACGAAGAAGCCAGGCCAGGCACTTTCCATGTTCTATTTCGTTTGGTCTGCACAGCAACCCTATGAAATCAGTAGTGTTCTTAGTATTTGCTTTGAAAGGTAAGGAGACCCAGATTCGAGCGATTAAATAACTTGCCCAAAGGCATTTGGACCTGAACTTCAGGATCCTTGAGCCCAAGCTCATTGTCCCGCCTTCCCTGGATGGGCCAGGATTTTAGCTTACACCGAAAGCCTGTGAACTCTTGAGGGGCAACAGTGAGTCCCGGGAACATGCTCAGGGGAGGCAGTGTTCCGTGCATGGCCTAGGGATCTCTTCTAGGCCAGGGGCCCAGGGTTCCAGACTTAGGGCCCAAGGGCCTTCCAGAGATCTCCTTCAGAGATCTGCATGCCAGACACTAAGCTGAGTACCTGGGCTTTACTTTTTGCCCCTTGACGGTCTCATGTTGGGTGTGAGAATCAGAGAATATTGTGAAATGGGAAGGATCTCAGAGAATTTCAAATCCAATGCCCTCATTTCACACAGAGGAAACTGTAAACCATCTAAACTCTGAGGCTCAGACAAGGAAAGTGACTTACCCAAGATCGCACACACTCAGGCCTAGAACTCAGATTTCCTAATTCCTCTTCTGCAACTCTTTGCACACAACATGCCTCCTGGCTTGGAAGAGCATACAGCGTGCTCCTTTACACTAACCCTGTGCCCCCCTCCCCGCGCCCCCTACATTAACCATGGCAGAGACATGGAGGGACAGCAAATGGCAAAGCCCACAATCTTCCCTGGTGTTTGACTGGGGAGGGTGGAGGCAACACCCCCCAGCCCCCAAAGGAAGGGTGGAAAGGCCCTTAATGAGGAGATGTGTCCTCACCTATAGGTTTAGCTAAATCTTACTGAGCTCCTCTCTGGCTAAAAACCTTGGGATGTGCCAAGGATGGGGGTGGGGGAAGCAGGGAGGGGGTAGTAGAGGGAAGTCTTGGAACTCACTTTGAACTACTCCCTGTAAACTCTCATGGAAGCACCCTCCTGTCCAGTTTGGTTTCTCCCCCAGGCAGGGCGCCCCTTCTCCCCCAGACAAGACAAAGGGCAGGTCAGCTGTGCGTAGGTGCCACCCTGGACAGGGCATCTGTTTCTCTTCCTCTGCTGATCACTTGGAAACACTGTCCTGTGTTACATGCCCGACCGAGTGGATGGAGGTGAAACTAAGTGTTCTCTCAGAAGCTGCCTGCAGTCAGAATGACATCATTTCTTCCTCAGGGCTCCTGCGCTTCCATCTTCTGCCAGTTAGCTTAATGGTTAATTAGCCATCAGTATGTGTCTTTCCATCTCCCTTGCTGCCTCTCTGTGCCTGAGTTTCTCTTGTCTTCCTTTGCCATTGTCTGTGTCAGCTGTGTGTGTGTGTGTGTGTGTGTGTCTTAGTCATAGATGGGATGGTCTAACTAGTTGAAAATACGGTTTGTTTTCAACTTTTGCGATCATCCACTTAGGTGTGTGCCGAAGGTTACAGATGTATTTGTCTCCCCTTTCCCCACTTCAACCTCCCTCACCAGCTCTCAACAAAAATACATGAGTGTCTCATCTGTAGAAAGATGCATCTCACGTTTCCTACGGAAGAGCAAAGCCCAAGAGCACGAGCAGGGAGTGGAGGGGAGGGCGCTTGCTGCAGCTTGCTCAGGCAGCTGTAGCCTTAAGCCCGGGAAGTGGAAGTGGTTTCAGGGCCAGGTTTAGCTTTAGTGGCACCCTGCGCAGGGGCTGAGCCCCTCCCCCAGCATCCCCGTCAGTTTGGGCTGCCTGTCCTGCCCCCCCCAAACCCTCCCCCCCAGCCACCAGGCTGCCAGGCCCACACGCCTTGCTAGCCTTCTCCTTTTCTGCCCCTGCAACTGGTCTGCCTCAGCCTTGGCGCTCTCTCCTCATCAGGAAGCCAAACATTCTGGCTTTTCCAGGATGAGAATGTATGGATCAAAGGAGCAGCACCAGCAGGACAGAGCCCACGGCCTTCAGAAGCAAGGGAACAAGTAACATTCGCAGAGCACTTTATATTTCACCAAAGCCCTTTTTCGTGCCATCTGTCTGTTGCTTGCCCTGGCCCTTTGCTGGGGGCTGGGTCTCCCCAGCCCAAAGCTATTGCTGTGATTCCAGCAGCTCCTTCTCTGTTAGTTGGCCAGCCAGAGTGGATGGTACAGAATTGGGGCCAGGAAGGAAAGGAGAGTGTGTGGGAGGCACTGTGTTACATACTCACAAGGAATGCTGCTCCCCACAAGATTGCTATGGTTTCCCTTGTGGGCAGAGGAGGACCCCGAGGCTGCATGGACATCTCACTTTGTCAGGGACACCTGAGGAGTGCGACACGATTGGGCTGAGATTAGCACCAAGGTGGGGGTGACAGCAGGGGGTTCCACTGGCTCTCAGAGAGAAAGAGGGTCTGGCAAAGGTGTGTGCGTGGTGAAGGGGCAGAAGTCACCTCTGTCCAGGAAGGGAGGTGCCAATGAGCAGGGTGCTACTGTGGAAGGGCTTAGGAGATGTTTTTACTGCCCAGGTTAAGGCTCCTGAGCAGGGACACCGCACAGCAACAGGAAATGATGCCATACGTGTTCCAGTGAGCTTGACTGCTGTGCTATGTCTTTGTGAGGGCTCTGAGGCCACCCCATTGCTGCTCTGATTTTCTGCTGTGAGCAGCCTGCTTCTGGCTCATCTGTCACCACAGACAGGACAGTGGAGAGCTAGGGGAGGGGTTTCTAAAGAGCTGGAATGGGAGCAGTGCCTACCCGTTACCTTTGGGGCCTCTACAGAAAAGCTTCCAGGCTCCCCATAGGTCTTCAGGGGTACGGCCCTCCCCACGTCCAGCAGCTTGAGAGGTGTGCAACAATTAGGAAGCCAAAGAAAAGTCAACCCACCAACCTACTCAGCCCCAAGCACCTCACACACTCCCACCCGTGTTCCTGCTAATGGCAGGTATTTTTAGAGTGCTGAGCTCATGGTGCTAAGTGTCTGCCACATGCCTGAGGGCTGGTAGGGATTCGGTTTTACTCAGAGGCAGGAGTTACCCCTATTGGGGGTGAGGTGGGGCCCAGGAGCCCAGTGGTAATGACACTCTCGCATTATACCTGCTCTCCTGCCACCGCCCGCTGCTCCTTCCCTGGCCTGCTATCCCTTTCTTCCTGCTCAGAGCACCAGAGAGGGAGGAGAAATGAAAATCTTGCTGTCTGCAGGGTGAAGCAAATCAGTTCTCAAGGACTTATTTTTTCTGGGGAACCAGAGTCGAGTGTTCTCTCTGAAATCCCTTTGGCAGGTCCCTAGCATGCCAGATCGCTTGTAGTTTTGGGGACTTGAGCCAGTGCTGCTTTTTGATGACGACAATGACAGAGGTGAGGGTGCCACGATGATGACAGTGACAACTGTGATGACGAGGGATGCTTGCAGTTCACTGGAGAGCTGCCAGGACACTGATGAAATGCTAGAGAACAAGTATATCTAAAGGGTATGGCCAGCCGCACAGTGCAATAGGTATTCATCAGAAAAGGAAATTGAATAGAAGTTGAGTGCATGAGCAGAGCCTGAAAGAATGGGTGAAGTCTGCATGAAGTACAGGAAGGACCCCCAATTCTGTAGAGAAAGGTTGCCTAACAGCCCCAGGTACAGAGAGACTGAACCTAGCTGAGTACCTAGGAGCCACGTTGCCAGGGAGTGTCAGATCACAGCATAAAATTTTCCATTTGATGCCACATGCAGTAGAGGGTTATCAGAGTTTCCTGAAAGAGGCTGGTCTGCTCGTACAAGCAGGGACTTAAGAAAGCGGCATGCAGAGGCGGGTTGTGGAGACATCTAGAATCTGATAAGACTTTGCTGTCCTCCAGGAGTGAGGAGAGGGAGGCTCACAGAAGGACTGGACAGGCCAAAGAAAAGGGGTCAGTCTGAAGGTCAGCGCAGAGGACGGTGGTAGCTTTGTGAAGAGGGGGAGGCTGACCAATGGCAAGTGATGTTCAGAATGATGACTCCGGGACCCTGAACAATCTTCACTCAGAAAAGAGACTCAGTTATGTTTACCAGATTATACTTATTGGAAGCAAAGTCCACAAAAAGGCTCCATTCTCCTTTCGCAGCCATAGAAGCCAATGCAGACCCATAGTCAAATTTCCCTTAATAACTGTGGCTTGTATATTGTCAGGGAACATCGCTTTGATGATAAATTTTCAGTGCCTCCATCTCTGCATGTATAATGCAAACAGGTTGGGCTGAAGGTGTGTTGACGCCAAAGTATGCCCTGGAAATTGTGTCCTTGCTTGTGTTACTGCTATCAGCCCTTTCCCTTCATCATCTGGCCTCTACCCCGAAAGTTAAGGTGTGGAAGAAAAATCCAGGGAGCTAAATTCGCTTTTACATAACAAAGAAATGAACTTAAATTGAGCTAAAAGTGGCATTTTTTTATTTTAGTTTTAATTATTTTTAAATTATCTGACTTCATTGCTCCTTTTTGGACGGTATTTAGTTTCTCCATCAGGTGCAGGCCCACAGGGCCCCATACCACAGCACTGGGGTCCCCCCCCTTGTGCTCTTCCCTCCCTTCTCCTGACTCCACTCCTTGCCCCTCCCCTACTCTACATAAAGCTGAGATTTGAACACTAACTTTGTTTTCTTTTCTTTATTTTTTAATTTTTTAATTTTTAATATCTTTTAATTTTTATTTATTTACTTATTTTTTACTTTATTTATTTACTTATTATTTACTTATTTTTTGTGTGTATGTAGAAGAACTGGGGTGGAGGCCAGAGGTGCAGAGATGAAAAGATTCACCAGAGACAGAGTGGGGAGCAGAACAGGCAGACTGAGGAAGTACAATGCTGAGCAGAGCAGTGGGCGGGTCAGGAGAGGTCAGCCGGGTCACCCCCCTGGCCAGGGAGCCAACTCAGACTGTAGTGGTGATAGCAGTGAGACTTAGCCTCTAGGCCAGCAGGGAGGTCCCTGTTTTCTTTTAAAAGTCATGCAACCCACCTCCCAACAAAGGGTTGTATGCTTACAGTAGAGAAATTGAAAAAAAAAAAAAAAAGAAATATTACCTACTGTTCCACTGCCCATAAATAATTAGTTTGGTTTTTTTGGATGCATGCAGGTGCAGTCTTTCCTATGTGTCAGTGTTTAGTAGTTTTCTTTAAATTGGTACTATACATAATACATGAAAGTGTTTCTTTCCTGCTTTTTTCATGGACTTAAATTTTGTGAGAATTTCCTCAAACATTCATTTTTTTAAAACACAATTTTTAAAGGCTACATATTTTAGCCACTGGATAGATATATACATATACTTTAGCTAGTCCTCCCCTAGGGAACCCTTAGGTTGGTTCCTGTTTTTTAAAAAGTATCAGCAACCCTGCAATTAAGATAACTTTACAGAATTTTGACCATATCTCTATTTCATTTGTACTGAACCTGAAACAAGGATTACAGACTCTCAGAATATTCAACATTTTTAATAGCTTTATTCATACCTGCTCAAATTTGAAAGAAAGCAAAATATACTCCCGTAGAATGGAGAAATAGATTGTGGTGCAGCTCATCTAGACAATGGAATATTATTTAGTACTGAAAAGAAATGAGCTGCCAAGCCATGTAAAGACCTAGAGGAACACTAAATGCACATAACAGAGTAAAAGAAGTCTCCTGTAAAAGCTATATATTGTATGATTCCAACTATATAACATTCTGTAAAGGCCAAACCAGCAAAAGATTAGTCGTTGTCAAAGAATAGGGGGGATAAATGAATGAAGAGGCAGAGCACAGAGAATTTTTAGGGCAGGCGTGGTGTATACATGTGTTTTACATTTTACTAAATCCACTTTTAGAATCAATTTCCTGTTTTTTCCCATGTCTGTGTAAATTATTTTTTATTATCATCATTGTCTTCTAATGGGAAGAAAAGTAGTAATAGTGTATTCCATGAAAGTGACTGGAAGGTGAAAGTGGAAGTTGATGAGCACAACCTGGCAAGCTGGATGCTTGGGTTGACAGCTGACTCTTTTAAGATTTATCTGTTTATGCACACAAAAACTGGGGTACAGGCTAGAGATGTGGAGATAAGAGGATTCGCCAGAGACAGAGTGGGGAGCAGAACAGGCAGATGTATTGTAATACACTGCTGAGGGAAGCAGTGGGGCAGGAGAGGTCTGCCACACCACGTGGGTAACTCCTTAGTCAGAGATCAAACTCTCGTGCTGCAGTGGCTACTTGCGGAGAGCTTCCTAATGCTGCGCTTTAACCTGCTGTGCCACCAAGGAGGGCTCTGACTCTCATTTTAACAAACACCTGTCCCACGGGTGTGCACATCTGGAAAGAGCAGACACAGGGTCTGCCCATGTTCCCTCACCTTGCAAGGTTTTGCAAGAATGATTGTTGACTGGAACAGATAATAGTCGATAATAGTCATGCAGCTTGGAAAAGTGTTACAGGGTAGCCAGAGTGGACTGGGTTGCCTGTCAGTGGGGCCTCACACACGCACTTACAATTCAATTATACTGCAGGTACACACAAAAGGGTCAATAATGGGTTTATTTACAAAAGGGGAAAGGAACAGGAAACAACCCCGGGAAAGAGAGCGGGATACAAAGTAACTGGAATACCTTAGGGCTAAGCTGACTGAACACACCAAGTCAAGCAGTCCCAAGAGCCATTTCCCGAGCAAGAGGGTGAGAGATGTAATTGCGCCTTATTTATCCCCCAGTGTCCCAGAATTCCTACTTAGCTCCACCCTTGGGTCCTCGCAGTTCTCTCCCTGGTACTTCTGGGAGTTGTAGTTTCCAATCACTGAAGTAGGGGATGGAGTCCATAAGACTCTGCAGAGTTCCTTTACTGACATCCTTCCCCTTAACAAAAGAACATGCAAGGGAGACCAGAGGTGGCCAGTTGGGAGAGCTGAACAGCTGGTTTCCTCCCAGGCTGAGGCTTCACGTACCACTTCTTGGAGACAAGCGTAAGCACTGAGTGTTGAACTTTTTTTTTTTTTGTCTTGAACATTTTTAAGGTTTTTGATAATATTGCCAAATAGCCCACCAGAAAAGCTGACCAATTTACATTTCTGCTTTTCAATGAAAAGGTTTTCAGCTAAGTATCTTGAGACAAAGTTTATAAACCCCAAAAAGAACTTAATACTTTCAAAAAGTCCATTCTGCCTACTCAAAGAACTATTTCCTTCGCTGGGGCCTATGGCCTCGTTTTTATAATGCCGCAGAATCATTCTTTCTCCTATGTGCTCATGTTTGTTTTCTGACTGCAAATATGGGCCTTTGTACCTTCCAGGTTCAGGTGTGGGACACGGCGGGTCAGGAGCGCTTCCGCAAGAGCATGGTGGAGCATTATTACCGCAACGTGCACGCCGTGGTCTTCGTCTATGACGTCACCAAGATGACATCTTTCACCAACCTCAAAATGTGGATCCAAGAATGCAATGGGCATGCTGTTCCCCCACTCGTCCCGAAAGTGCTGGTGGGCAACAAGTGTGACTTGAGGGAACAGATCCAGGTACCCTCCAACTTAGCTCTGAAATTTGCCGATGCCCACAACATGCTCTTGTTTGAGACTTCTGCCAAGGACCCCAAAGAGAGCCAGAACGTGGAGTCAATTTTCATGTGCCTGGCTTGCCGATTGAAGGCCCAGAAATCCCTGCTCTATCGTGACGCTGAGAGGCAACAGGGGAAGGTGCAGAAACTGGAGTTCCCGCAGGAAGCTAACAGTAAAACTTCCTGTCCTTGTTGAAACCAAATGGTGTAACTAGGAGATCAATCCTCACTGGAGTTTTTTCTTTCCCTTTTGTTCTGCATAAAACTGACAACCGCTTGTTTCCATACAAATTGATATTAAATAAAATTTGTATAGGTTATCACATGCCTTCATGTCTTGCTTTCTTCCGGCAAGGTATTTCTGGGTGTGATGCATAGAAGAGGCAGCTTGCCCTGCTAAGGTGGCATGTCCATGCCAAGGCACACTGCCTACCAGCCCCCTGTGCCACCTCATTGCTTGAGTCACTTCCTCAGGACAAGTTGATTCACTCACTTGGCATCCTGAGTGGGCAGAAACACCCAAAGGGAGTGAGCTACAGGCGAGATAGTTTCTTCTACAAGGGGTTGGATAAAAAAAGTCTGGAGAGGCCATGTTAATTATCAGTATCCCAGGCCCCCTGGATATCCAGAGTAGGCTGCTTGCTCTCTTTTGATTTCCAAAGTATAAAAGTAAAAGAGGCAGGTTGCCAAGGAGCCCTGTTGCTTCCAGAGTACTGGACCTTGATTCCTCATCTTTTTTTTTCAAGATTTATTTCATTTATTTATGCATTCAAGAACTGGGGCACAGGCCAGAGGTGTGGTGGGTGAGAGGATTCACCAGAGACAGTGTGGGCAGAACAGGTGGATCTACTGAAATACACTGCTGAGGGGGGCGGGGAGGGGGCGTGTCAGGAGAGTCTAAGACAGCAGAGTCTGCTGGGGTGGAGCTCATGGTGCGGCTTTATATAGCGCTGAGACTTAACTAACCCCTTGCGCCACCAGGGAGCCCCAGCTTGCTTCCCCATCTTTCACCAAGTGCTCTTTGACACCAAGGTTGTTTTTTTTTTTTTTTTTTCCTGTGCTCTTTCTCAGGGAGCATAGAACTCAGAGCTAACCTGTATCTAATATGCTCCCAGATCTTTGCAGGATGCTGTGGGAGAAGCATAACAAAAGGAGGATTCATCCCCTAAGTCCAAAGTTCTGATCTAGTTTCAGGAACAATGTTTTCAGAAGAAAAAACATGAGACAATATCACCAAGTGGGGGGTCGTGCTGTAGGGAGGGGGAACACCATGTGTTCAATATCTAGGAGGGTTCTGGAAAAGATAACTGGACTTACTTTGTTGGATAGAGTGTAGCGATTGGATTGGTAAAGGGGAGGGGAGTGGAGGAATGAACTAGGGAGTTGAGAGGACTGCAGCCAGTCTGCCAGAGTGGGGAGCTCAAGTGTGGTAGGCAAAAGTCAGGCAAAACAGGGGCAGCTTTAAAAGCACAAGGGAGCTTTCAGGCTTTCCAGCAGAGCTTTTGTGGGTCTTTCTTATGCACCTGGAAACCTAATTGTCCAGTTAAAGTAAAGAAAGTAGCTATAAAACTTATCTACAATAGCCCCAAGCCTATTCTTTGCTTGGGGGTGCTCCTTTTGGAAATTCTCCTGTGTAGCCTCTGGGAGAAGGTCCCAGTCAGATAACGCTGAGCACTTTCCTCTGGCAAACTTGCATAGGTCTGCCCCTCCCCACCCCAGCAAAGGGTGACTAGAAGAGCTTCCCACCCACACAGGTAGCCTGCCTAGTCCTGCCCTGTCCCTTTAGCCACTGGCTAAGCCTCCCCAGCTGTCCAGCCTCAGGCTTGGCCCAGCCTGCAGTCTGCCCCTCATGTGGCTCCTGTCACATGCCTGTCTTTGGAACCTGTCCAGTAGCCCAGGGTTTTCAGACCAGGTGGCCCACCCAGTGCTCAACCCCTGAATGTCACTCAAAGGGCTGAGGACCTGTTGACTGTGTGTGAACTGCCTGCCTGACACCTCTGTTTGTCATGCTTCCCATTGATGGGACACCAGGGCCTTGTCTCAGATTTTATACTCTGACCCGTTACCCTGGACAAGATCCACGGTAGTGTCTTTTGGCTCTTCTGAGTGGGCCCAGATCCATGTCCATACCAAGATGGGTGTGAGGCCTGGGTCCTGGCCCATCTTGGGCGGGGTCCCTCTCTGCTGTAGCGGGGCCAAGATGACAACATTCTAAGTCTTCTAACCAGGACTGCCTCTTCCACAGCTAGATTGTCTCCACAACTTTCCAGGTTTCAGCAGTTATGGGGCACGAACAAAGATTGGGGGGTAAAGTAGTGGAGGACTCTGGGTGCCTTGGTGGTGGGCGTGGTATGGTGACATACACTAAGGGATGTGAACCTAGTCCCTTGAATCATACATAGGGTTGTAAACCAATGTTACCTCAAAAAGAAAATGTCAACAAATTTTTTTAATTAAAAAAAATGCTTAAGGGGAAAAAACAGCTTTTTAAAAAGGGAAGAAATACTTATGTGCCACTGTTCTAAGCCCTGGGGATACAGCAGGTGAACAAAATAAAATCCTGCTCTCTTCAAGGAGACAGACACTAAACAACATGTGAGGTCACTGGACAGGACTCTATGGGCCATGAAAGAGGCAAAGGGGCAGTGGGGGGAGGGTGGCATATTAGATGGTTCAGTCACAAGAGGCCTGTTTTGAAAAGATTTGTGCTGATACCACCTGAATAAAGAAAATGAACTGGCTAGGAGGTTCAGGAAGACGAGAACCCCCCAAGCAGAGGAATCAGCCAATGCCAAGCTCCTGAGGTTGTTGTATTTGAGGAACAGGAAGGAGGCTGGAGTAGATAGAGCAAGAGAGAGCCTGGACAAGACCAGGTAGAGAGGTGGGAAAGACCAGGTCTGTGGGGTCGTGGTTTCATCTAAATGCAATGAGAAGCAGTGGAGGGCTTTAATACCATCGAGACTCAGTAACCTTTGGGGAGAGTCAGCAGGCTTGCTGACCTGCAAGAGGGAAAAGCTTGTCTCAGAGACATGAGACAGACCTTTTCCTGGGTGACTCCTGAATGTGGGTCTCTGGACAGTCACTTCCAGGCTGACTGGGCCTCACCTTAAAAGATGACTCTGAAAACCTCCCCCAAACCATCACCTTTTGGTCCTACCCAGATTCTGGTAGTTTTGCTGTAGGTAGCAGGCCTTCATCATCCTAGCTACCCTTCTTCTCTGTGCTTTAAGTGCTAGACTGCCCCTCCCACTTCCCCTCCCCCCCACCACGACGTTGCTCTCCCTCAGGCACCAGGGGACAGCCTAGAAGTCCAGACGCTGCCCACTCTGATAACAGGGATCCTGGCACTCCCCGCTCTGCCTGCTCCCAGACCCAGCACTTGCTGTTGCTAACAGCCTAGGACCACAGCGGCCCTCAGGCTAACCTCAGATTGAGCAAGAGGACTTGGGCAAGGACTGTTCCCAGAGCACACTCAGGAAACCAGAGCGCTGAAACACTCCTGCTACTGTGAGTATGGAGAGGAGCATGGAAATTCGAGAGACACATGTTGCTTCCAGACGTCTCATGCAACCTCAGTGTGTCTCTGGATTGATCCATGATGACCAAATAAATCTCTATAGGTCTTCTTCACTTTGCACGTGTGTACTACAGAGGCAAGAACCCCGATATAACTACCAACATTTGAAAATTTACAATATGCGCATTTGATGTGGAGATAATGGTTTCCTCTTTATAAACATAAAACACAGATGCACCCATAGATTTGGTGACTTGTCCAAGGAAGTAAGTGGTAAAGAGCAATCTGTCTTCAAGTTGAGGCTCTTTATATGAGTTATACTGTTTTCCCAGCTAGTTCCAAGGCCAGGGCCTTTGGGGTTGCAGGTTTACTCCAGCCAGTTCCGTTGACCACTGCAGCTTTTCGAACAGGTCGTTCATAATGCTGGAGGCCAGACTAGGACATTCCCTTGAATGGATGCCCCTGATCAGATCCCTTCCAGAAGCCCAAGTGACCGACTAAGGCGTCAGCTCTGGGTCAAAGGTGTTGCCTAGATGTCTCTACCTTGGGCTGCAGCTGGGGACCACAGAGCCAGATGGACTCTGCTGTTTGGCCTTTGGGGCTTGCAGGGCCAGGTCACTGGGGCCCTGAGCCTCCTCTCCCTCCTCTGACAGCTGCACCTTTGCTCAGGTCGGTGGTGCGGCCTGAGGAGGCGCTGCAGCAACAGCCTGGTGAAGCCCAGGGTCTTTCTCAATAGGACCCTTGACCAGACCCAAGGCCCCAGGCTGCTCTGAGAACCACGGCCTCGAGCAGGCTGGGGAGGGGTGCCCAGCCCTGAAGAGCTGCAGAGGCCCTGCCGCAAGGGAAGCCATGGCAGCTCACCGGAGTGTGCCGAGTGTGCTTGGGGCTGGGGCCAGAAGGTGTGGACGTGCTGGGTGCTCCTGGGAGAGCAAGGCTCAGCATCTCCTGCAACTTTGAACAACAGTGGCGGAGGTCAGTCATCATTCTGTGCTGACACTCAAGGGGACAGGGTTGCTGCCTTAACTTGTAAAGACCTCCCTGCACCCTCCACCCTCCTCCTGACACCCCTCATCCCCCTCACTCGCTGAGCCTCACCCCCACTGGGTGGACTGGCCAAGGCTCCTGGACCTTGTGCAAAGTTCCCTGAGGACCCCAACAGAGCAGTCACTGGTTTCAACTTTATTTTGCTTCTAAGCATCCTTATGTCCACACCCCTTGGCACTAGAGTAGCAGGACTGAAAGAGGGGTTGTCCCAGAGGTCCCCTCAGATCAGCAGTCCCCAAGTACTGGCTCAGCCGACTGCATGAAATCAGTTGGGAACTTGTTATAAATTTCTGGGGCACCACCCCCAGAGACGCTGATCTACTGGATCTGGGAACAGGGCCCAAGGATTTGTACTTTCATAATGTCCATATTGATTCTATTGTGGCTCCAGGCCTGTGCGCCTGTGTGTGTGCATTTTGTGCCAGTTCCAGCCCACCAATAGCCAGCGTTGGGGCTGGAGCAGCCCTTTTCATCTTTGATTGCAAGATGACTTTTGGGAAACTGAAAAAATAAGGGTTTATCACTCACAGGACCTGGAAATTACACAGCAAACCTAAGACTACATAGAGAGTCTAGTTGGGTTCAGAAAGACAGAGGGGAAGGAACAACCAGCTGCCATGGACCTGGAGCTTTGCTTTTAATGGGGTGGAAGGTGGGAGTCTAAGATTTTGTGTACTTGCTCTTTTTTTGGTGAATTGTGGAAACTCAAAGTGCAGAGAGAGAAAAAAATCAAGTAACCCAAATGGACAGTTATTGAAA